ATCTACTATTAAGAGATATAATACTTTAATAACCGCTTAGCATTATGCCCTATATAATCTGCTAATAATAAACCTAATATAGCTTAATTTATCTACAGTTAGGAACCAACTATTATAAGTATCTTAATCACTAAGTGATTATAGACAATTATTATAATTATATAGTAAGTATATATAACTAGGTTGCTTATTAGTTAAAAGAAAATACAGGGGGCATATAATATAAGCGCCTTTCTAAGTTTAATTGTAATACTTAAGCTATACTTCTAAAAGGCTATATATAGCTACTATATATAATATATATAAGGCCCTTTTCTGCCTAACTTAATATACCTATTTTACCTTATATTATAGCTAGAGATAGATATAGCAATATAGTAGCCTACCTTAAAGCTATAGCCTAAAAAGTCTAGCTACTATATATTAAGGCCTAAAGATAAAAGAAAGGTATATAGTCTAAAATTATAAAGGCCTTTAGTAAAAGTGCCTTAAAAGACTGTTAGGTTAAAGGATTTTATATAGTAAAATTAATAAGAGGTTTAATTATAAGTTTAAGATTATAATATTAAGGTTAGAGGTTTAACTTTACTATATAGGCTCCTCTTTTTTAATAGTCTTTTAAGGTATTTTTCTTTTTTTAGCTTTTTTTTTATTTTTTTAGCCTTTTTTCTTTTTTTTTCTCTCTTTTTTATTATACTATCTTTAATAACTTAGCCTGCCTTATAGCTAGCTGGCTATCTATATTAAACCTATTTAATATTAAGTATATTTACTTAAGTTAAGCTATCTTTTTTCTTATTAATACTTTAGCCTATATTATCTATAGCCTTCTTACTTAAAGTTATTTATTTTCTTACTATATTAGTTTTTCTAGCTGGCCTCTATATATATATATATAAAATAGGCTATTTATTAGCTTTTTAGCTGCCTATTTTTAGCTAGCTTCTTTTTATTATATCTTACTTTATTAAGGCCTTCTATTTAGTCTTTATAACTTATAGCTCTAGCTAGCTTTAGCCTTAAAAAACCTCTAGCCTCTATATATAACCTTACTTAAAGTTAAAGTATACCTCCTTATTAATCCCTATCTAACCGGTATTATACTTTATATTATTAATAGCCTGCTATCTTAAGGTTATTTATTACTTTATAATATTATATTAGCTATATTTTAAAGATATATCTTTCTTTTACCTTTTACTATCTTTCTTTCTTTTTATTTTATTATATTACTATATAAAATAGTATTTATTTTATTATAATAATTCTTTTTTTTTCCTTTACTTTTATTATAGTAAGACTATATTTAGCTAAATAATATAATTACTATTTTATTAATAGTTTAGCCTATATTATTAATAGCCTACTGCCTTAAGGTTATTTATTACCTTATTATATTATTATATTAATTACTGCTATACTATATATAGTAATAGTATACTTTTAGCTATATATTTCCTTTTTTATTAACTTAATTTAGGCCTTTTTTACCTCTTTTATATATCTTTATTAATATCTCTTTTACTTATTAATATCTCTAGCTATTATTAATAAATAGCTATATTAATATTATATTAACTAGCCTTCTCTTTTCTTTTAGCTTATTTAATATCTAGCTTAGCTTAATAATATACCTTCCCTTTAATATAATAATAATAATATAAATATATATAATATTTATATATAGGTAATTTAGTTAGTTATTTATTAGCCTTTTTAAGCTATAATTTAATTACTATATATTAAGATTAATAGTTTAGGCTATACTTTTAAAAGGCTATATAGAAGTACTATTATTACTTACCTACTTGCCTTTCTTTAGCCTTCTCTTTTTTTTTAAACTGCTTTCCTTCTCTTTCTTTATTACCTTTACCTAGCTTTCTATTTAGCCTTATTAAACTATAGCTTAGCCTTAATATATAGCCTTATTTAGGGTTAGCTTAATACTTCTAATTGGCCTATATCTAGCTAGTAATATAGCTATTTAGTAGTATAGCAGCCTTTACTTTTCCTAGCTAATTATAGCGCTGCCTTAACTAGTAGTAAAGCCTGTATTACTGCTAGCCTAGCAGTTAGGAACTAAGGTTATAATATAAAAGTAGGTTTTAAATTATATATATAATAGTAGGGACCTAATATTTTATATATAATAGATAAACCTAACCCTAATACCTTACTATAATTATCATAATACCTATATCTTGCTAGCGCTATGAAATTTCCTATATAAACTTAATTATCATTAGGCTGTTAATATAAACAATAATTGTTAGGGCAGTTATTTTTTTCTAGTTCCCCTAATGCTGCTCGAGTATTTATGAATCACGAATTATGAACCGGTACGCAAAGAATCGACGATGGAAATACAGACAAGGCAAAGCTCCGCAAGTGTGCTGTCGAAAAACTAGAGTCTACCAAGCTATGAAGATGAGGACTATAGCTCTCGGAATGGCGAGAAACATGATGAGGTTGAAGTGTCTTTATAAATCTCATTCATCTATAATCTCGCTCATAATTACTCCCAACAACGGTTACTCAACTGCTGCACATCCTTCTCCAGCCTCACAACAACCCCCTCATAGAAGTTCTGACAAAAGTCCTCATCCTCAAGCCCCATAATCCCCAGCACGTTGTCCAGACACCACTCCACCGCCATCATATAGTTCTCCCCCACCTCCTCTAGCACCTTATTCCTCAACTGAAAACCTGCTTCGCGCTTCTCCATTATGGCTTTGAGGTCTATATCTGGCACCGTTGCCATGTCGAGTGCCGGCTCGGCTTGTCCGATCATCACCTGGATCAGCATCGCACCGAGTGACAGCACTATTTGGTTGCTAGCTTTGGATGGTTTGCGTGGTTCCCTCTGCGGCGAAGTCTCTGAGGGTGCTGCTGCCACAGGCATTCTGACGAATGTCCCGGTCATGGAAAACCTGGCGGGTGAGTCTGAATGGTACGCAGTCTTCTGGTTTCCCGGAAAGAACACAATGTCGTCCAAGGTCAGGATTCGCGCTAACCAGGGAGTCTTGTAGAGATGGAGGATATTTATAGAGACAGCCAGCGCGACTTTCAGCTTTTCCAAGAGATCAAGCTCTTGAAACTTGTTATGTTCTCCTCCTAGTATCTGCCGTAACGTGATAATCGGGCTTGGTTCTGGATAATAGTTCTGCGGGTAGAGACCGAATATGCGATAAGGGTCGGCGATATATCCGCAGCACGGGGCCGCTGGGTTCCTTTGCTCCTTGTGCCATGCGATTACCACCTGGCATAGACCCGAACTGAGGACAGGTGGTGATGCCGTTCGTGGAAACAGCGATGTTTTTGCGACAGTGGTCTTTTCGGAGACGACGGTCAGAGTCTTTTCTGAGGATGTTGACTCTAGCCTAGACTTGGAACTAAGCAATCCAAGAAACCGGACTCTCGGGCGTGGAGATGGAGATCTGCTGTTACTGGGGGGAACACTCAATGACGAAGGCGGCTTTATACTTTGTTCAGTCCTGGGCTCCAACTGAACAAGGAGACTGTCCCAGCGGTTCGGTTGTTCCAGAAACTTCACTTCCTCCCCGCCCTGAACAGAGCAGCTTGTGTCAGCATCAGGGCTCCCATATGACCCTAGCACCACATGAAAGTTGAGGTTCTTTGCCACCTCGTCCTCCACGTCGCTGGGCACAAGGGCAGCTCTCCTCGGCACCAGCTCGAGACACAGGTCGTGCGATTGGACGCATCGACACGTTACCGCACTTTTCAGGCCGTCGAAGATGCTCTGAGATAAGCCCCGAATAAGTCTCGTGACCCTGGCCTGTGACCGTCGCCGTCGGCTAGGCTCGAGTTTGCGGTTATCATCGGCGAGATCGTGCAAGACTGAGTTGGCCGTCTTGATACGAGAGATGATGCTCTCGTAATCTTTCTTCCTTAGCGAGAAGGATGCCCTTTTCTTGTATTCTTCTAGTATTGCCTTTGCGCTATTCAGCTTGGCCTAGACACATAGCATTAGCATATATAATTAATCTCGATTAACTAGTGTGATGGATTCACCTGGCCATCTGCTTTGATGCATAGCTTCTCCCTCAGTTCCTCAGCCGCCTCCTGCATGTCCTTGGCATGCTCTTTGAATGTGCCCATCGTTGTCCACAGCCGCTCCCTGATATTGTCGCTGAACTGCTCCCACTCGGGCCCAAAAGGCTTCTTGACTATCTCGTCAATCCGAGATAGAGGCGCGATGCCATCGAGTAGCACCTCGCACGTTGTTTGCAGGCGGACTTGTTCTGTCTCGAGGTCTTGGATAAGGGCTTTCAAGTCACGATCAGCACCTCGTACCCGTGATAGCATGGCCCTGTATGCTTTGAGTGCCTCGATGGCGAGTGGCAGGACGGCAAGAACGACGCCTACGACTTCGATGCCGGACATGACGTCGTCGTTAAATTGGATACATCTATGTCTGATGAGAATCGGCCAAGAGTGTAAGATGACATGTTGGGCTCTGAATATGCAAGCCCCGCACCACGGCTGAAAACAGGGATTAGACGTTTGAGCTGCTGGGACCAATAATATCTCGACAGATATGACTATGAGCCATTTTCGATGACCAGCTCTGTTAAGGAACGTGACTTTATGGCGAGCGGGGCTGCCATCCTGACTTTCTGTGGCTACTCTCATCAATCATCAGTGTAATAAATCCAGCAACCGACATCACCAACCATCAATAGAGATTATTTTGGCCTTCGTTTTCACATTCCAAATGATCGAAGGGGCCTCTCAATCCGTCACTGAACTGGGAATTGCCCCCTTGGTTGCTCGCAGCCTTGCCTCGTTGAAGACGCTCACCTCAACGCTGCAATGTGACCATGCCCAAGTCTCGCAGGTCGGCTCTTACCTAGCGAGGTTCAAGCTGTGGGCTGGCAATCTAGGAGCCCATCGCAGATCCGGGAGTCGCTCTCTCGAGTATCGTCTACGTGACGCGTCCCACATCCGCAAGTTGGTCATTTCTCTGCTCCAAGATCTTTGCAGATCCATCGAACAAGGCATAGACTTTCTTTCCTCTGTCAAGAGAAAAATATTAACGACAAGTTAGGCACCCTCATCGCCAACGAAGACAAGAGCTCTGACATAGCCAGCGAGAGCCACGACCAAGTGGAAAATGACCTAGCCGACTACTTCAACGATGATGAAGACTCTGACAAGTCCGAGACTGAAAAGACACTTGATGAGATTGCTCACGTAATAGCCTGTCTTCTACGGCTTTCTATCACGATACGCAACCCAGCCCCTCACGACCAGTTCCTGTCCCGGGCGGAGGAGGGTCTTATCGAGTCGTTTGTGCACTGGGATGCCAAGCATGTCCGAGAAAAGTTCACCAATGTGGATAAAAATCTTGCAGATAGACTCGGTAGAGCCATGGCTCGCAGGCGGCTATATTTTAAGTATCGAAAGGAGCATAACCACCGAATGGCCCAGGGCTTAGACGAGGATGAGGATGAGCAGGCGACGACGGTGGCTTCATCACTTCCCGAGCATCTAAAGGAGGCAGGCGAGACACGTTTAGGTCAGTTCGGCATAGTGGATGATGGTGGTTCTGATACCTCGGCGACTTCGTATGCCACCTCAAAACCTGATTCAACCCAGCTGCGAGTCCCCTCAATCCCAAAAGAAAACAAGGATGGGCCGTTCAAGTGTCCGTTCTGCCGAATGATAGTGTTGATAGACACAAGGTATGCCTGGAAGTATGTTTCACTCCGGCTGATGAAGGTGGCTGATTACTCTAACCTATTTAAAAGGAAACACGTTTTCAGAGATCTTCGACCGTATGTCTGTCTCTCAGATGCTTGTAAAACACCAGAACATCTGTATATGCGCCGCAATGAGTGGAAAATGCACATGAGGCGAGAGCATTGGAAGTTCTGGCACTGTCCATTCGGATGCGATGAAGAGTTTGACAGAGCGGAAGGCTTTCAAAACCATGTCCAGATAGCGCACAAACATAACATGTCTCCGGACCAGATACATGCGCTGGGTGAACTAAGCAGCCGTACCAATACGGCAAAGGCTAAAGGTCAATGCCCTGTGTTGTGATTTCCAAGTGGATTCTGAGAAGCAGTACGAGAAGCATATAGGGCAGCATCTCGAGCACCTTGCGCTTTTTACCTTGCCCGATATAGGGGATGAAGGCAATGAAGACGAAGAGGAGGAGCAGCCCGGCGCTGGAGATGAGAACGATGAGGATGAGGATGAGGATGACGAGGACATAGATGAAGAGGATTGGCTTAAAACGGACGACCACGGAATCAAGGCCGCTGAGAGACAATTTGAAGATACTAAAATCCTCTATAGGCTGAGCATAGAGACAGCAGAGAGGATCAAGAAAGCCGGGGAGGAAGATAACACTAAGATAATATCTGATGTGCGTGCCAAGCTTGAGGAAGATAGGAAGGCCGCAGCAGCTGCTGCTGGAGGATCACGAAAGGCTGAGGCCGAGGCTTCAACTAGACCTGCTATATCCGGTCCGCCCGAGGTAAACGTAGAAAGGATTCGATTAGAGGCCGAGATCGCTGCTATGGAAGAAAAGGTAAAGGCTGCCGAGAAGCAAAAAGAAGCCGAGGCGAAAATCCGAAAAGAAGCCGAGGAGGCCTTCTATCGAAGAATGGAGGATATGGGATTGGCCCAAGAAGAAGCCAAGAAAGAGATCGAAAGGGCCAGGATTGAGGCAGAAAAGGCTGCCCGAGAGATACTAGAAGCCGAACGAAAGGCTGAAGGGAAACGCGCTCAGGAGCACGCTTGCGCTATGGCTGAAGCCGAAGAGAAGGCTCGTCTCAGATTCGAAGCTGAGATGAAGACCACTGAGGACCGAAGAGAGGCTGAGGCAGGGGCTCGCATCCAAGCTGAAGAAGAAGCCAGGAAGAAGTTTGAAGCTGCAGTAAAGGCAGCTGAAGAACAACGAAAGGCCGAGGCTCCAGCCCGCGCACAAGCCGAGAGGGAAGCTCGAATGAAGTTCGAAGCTGAACTGAGGGCTGCCGAGGCAAAGGCCGGTGCCGCGAAGAAGGCTCAGGAGGAAGCTGAGCGTCTCATGATGGCTGAGCAAGAGGCTAAGGAAGCTACCGAGAAGAAAGCTGCCGAGTAGCCCGAGAGAAATATCGACGGGGGTGCAATGGCACAACATCAAGAGTTATAGCTAAATGTCTTGGAGATCTCTGCTCGAGGTTGGTTCTTCTCAGTCTAGCACGGCAGTTCGGTTGCTATTATTTACCCTAGGTATTATTCGCAGGCGGTTTGAGTCAAATCCTCCACCAAAATGGGGTTGCGGGGGTCAACGTATTGCGCCCTCGTAACCAATACTCTCATCGACTGTAGTAGAGTCCGTTTATCTCCCCACTTTGCAGGGAGTAGATAGATAGATAGATAGATAGAGTGTATTACGCCCGGGAGAATGATTCTCATAGGGCTAGTAGGTACGCTAAGCCACTTACGATTTCCTCGCATTGATCCAGTCTAGTTTGTTATCGGTAGATTCTGTTGCGACAGGTGACTTGGATAGAGTGTTAAAGTTCCACCCCATGTAACTACGTGGCATATACAAGTAGCTTTAAGTCACGCCGGTATCGAGGAGAACCGGCATAGAAACACAGGGCTAGAGTCGATACTTACACAAGAGCGGAGGCGTTTCCAGTCTGGAAGGCCATACTTGTTGGAAATTCCGGGAATCCCCCTTCCTTTCAGGGTTTAGACTGTTAGACTGAAAGTCCTAGATTTAGAGTTCAAAGTCCTAGATGAAATTATCTAGAGATATAAACCTGAGAAGAACTCTTATCTCAATAATTAACAATTAAGTTTCGTAAAAAAAATATACTTTCACCCAGCACTACTGCGCAATATAAACAACACTTGGGCATTGTAGAGAGAGCTCGACCCACTCTACCCACTCCTAATTGGCTAATTAGATCTTATCATCTGATAAGATTAAGAATATGGATGCTGAGCTCCTTGACAAGCCGTCCATAGACCTAAAGACCAAGATAGGTAGACATTAAGAAGCCAAGAGATTTAACTCTTTTACACCTAGAGCGGTTTATTGGTACTTTAATATTAGGGAGTTAAATTATAAGTTAATGCTCTTTTAAAAGTCATAGCGATGGATACTTTTAGACTAGGTTGTATATATTGTCATTTTGCTTAACTTATGTGTAAAGACTGTACCAAGAGACATCCTTATACCACTCCAAACTCTGAACTACCTCATCACAGAAAGTTCACCACTTGACTAATATTTAAACTGCTCACACAATGCCGTCCCCTTATGTTTCTTCTTACCCTCGATTCCCCCAGTAATCGGCCCAGTGAATCTCTGATAGTTAGCTGTATCCAACTGGGTAGCTCCATGGGTGAAGTTGGCTGTAAATGCCTTCCCGTTTCCCATATCATAGCGTATGTTGAACCCAGATGGCCCGGCCAGGCCTGGTATAGGCGGGTACTGACTATTCTTGCCCCAGGGTCTGACAGTGACACTATGGCACGCGCAGCTCTGGGTGAGCACCTTATCCCCTTTGGTGATCCACGACGAGAAGTACTCTTTTCCAGACTTATCTACAGCGTCGAACCACACGAGCGAGTATGGACCGACACGTCCGTGACCCCAGTACCAGGTTTTGGTGATGGCCTCCAAGGAACCTGAGCCCCAATTCTTATCGTGGTATCCGTTACCTCGAAGATGGAAACTTTCTCCGTCGATGACCAGATCAACAACGGCTTCTGCATCTGGTACAGCGTTCGCCCACCATATATTAGGGAAAAGTTGCTCTGAAACACCAGGCCTGTTTAAGTGACACGGGTAATGAGGCGGTGCAACCTATGGAACGTCAGTGACAGCCAGGAAATAATGCCTGCTAGTTTATACTAACCGATTTCAACTGGAACGAGCCAACGACACCTCGACCTGGATCATTGATAGACAACGTATAGATGGGGTTGGGGACGTTGAGGCTACTACCCGTAAACGTATGCAAACTGGTATTGCCTCTCCATTCAGACGCTAATCCCCGGTCGCTGATCTGGAAATCCGCGCCTAGGTTCGGAACAGTACTTTTGTCAATGCTGGTACCATTCTTGAACGTGACCCGCACCGCAATGAAGAGTGGCCCTCCGGGGTATGGGATCGACAGGCTGTTGGGGGCCATGTTGTACAAGACAACTGAGATTGCTGCGTTGTCTGTAGCCGAAACCGCGTCAAAGTACCACCTACATATGTACGTAAGTTATGAATTCTGGTCTAGTTCATCACTTGTGGTACTCACCAGTCCCATGTGCTGGCATTGACACCAGGTGTCAGCTTCGGTAGATCCAACCCACCTTTGACAGATACCGTTTCAATATGGGTATGGCCATTAATAAGTTTGAACGGTAGTTCAACTCCCGTAACACAGCTCTGCCCGGACGGGGTTGATCGTGCAACGCTAGCAACGATCAAGGCAGAACTAAGTATAGAGGCAAGATACATCGTTTCGCGGTAACTATGCAGGTTGTAGCAGACAGTAAGAATTATAAAGGGTAGTGTAATATCAGGAACACGTGGTTAATAGCCGTGGCAAAAAGTCCGTATGAGTGCTTTAAAATTGTGATATTTATATGCATACTTATATGTAATCACTGTCGGAATTCGCACTCGCATTCGCATAATGAGGAATTTGGGTGGAATCGTGGGTGTCAACTGGTTTTTGAGTCGGATTTTGAATTCTACCGAATACCGTCGAATAACGGAATTCGCATAGATATGCAATTGCCCTTAATTTCTCATTTAATATCTTAAACTTTAATATTCATGACTCAGAAGCCCATAAACGATGAATCCATGATATCCCCTCAAAGCCGAGGTTCAAAGCCGAACTCCGTTTGTAAGTACCTTGTAAAGACTGCCATACCCCTTAAAGACGCTTATTTTGCTTTTTTTTTCGAGCATCTCTTCGACTTCCATAAAGCCCCTCCCCAAACGCTGATATTGAAACCTTCTCTTCTACTCCAGCAAAATACGGCATCAGCTAAGTGATCATTGCTGGGATCGGAGCTAGATAGTCATCTAAACAGTGACACAAGCTTGAGAACCTATCGGACCTCTATCTATCACTGGCGATAAGCAACTCTTTGCAGTTGAAGGATGAGGAACCATAAAGATTTTCGTTTAATAATTTATAAAACATCCTCCCAATAAATAGTCTGGCCATTTAAGTCCTTTGGTATTCCTATTTCCACTAACTTTGCAAATGCAGCAGCTGGCTCCTCCGGTTTCAGCAATCTTCCTTCTGCCTTAAGGGCATTAAGGAACTTCTGCAGCTCGGGAGAGGCAGTGCCTGGAAGCTGGTTAGTTGTCATTCTAAACCATTAGTTCATTTGTGGTAGCATGTACCTTCTTCCCGCAGTCCCGTTTGCATTTCTGTATCAACTGCGCCTGGCGTAATAGCGATAGAGCTAATTCTGGAATCTTCTAACGGAATACAGCCGCACAGATAGTTGAGGACCGCCTTTGAGGATGCATAGCATGTCCATGACTCACAGGGCTGTTGACTGACACGGGATGAAGTCACTATTATGCTGCCGCTGCTTTCTTGAAGGTGATGCCAAGCGACTTGTAGCTACATTTGATGAAAGTGAGTTAGTATTACTTTATTTCTTGGGTGTTGGATTTTTTAGCATACCATATGGATATTAGAAAAGAAGTTGACATCAAATGCATGCTTCCAGCTTTCCAGACTGAGAGTTGGGAATGCTCCCAGTGGCCGATATGTGGCTGCATTGAGGATAAGGGTTGTAAGCCTGCTCCCATGCCTAATCGCCATCTCGACCGCCTGGATGTTGATATTCTCTTGACAAACATCTCCAGCGACAATGTGCAATTTCTGTGCATAGTCTCCCTGGATTGATTCAAGTTTCTCAATCTTGAGGTCGACTGCAACCACGTGAGAAACTGTTGGTGCTTGTAAGAGCTTTTTGACAATAGCAAGCCCTATACCATTTCCAGCACCTGTCACAATACTAACACTTTGCATTAGATGGTTTGGCCTAGGGGCGGAGTTGAACGTACATTACTTTCTCAGCCATAACGAGATCGTGTTTAAGTCGTGTTGTAGCTAGATAGATGCGGTAGCCCGTAGTCTTGTTGCCTACTTATCTAAGAACTCGACTCCAGGAGTATACATCCCAGGCCCAAAGTGCGATAAACAGAAAGTCAGCTGCTCTCGCCACCGCGGACCCCGATGCGTAGCATTCTGGATAGTGGGGCCACCGGTATTCCGTTTCTCAAGACGTGTCATATTTCCTTCGTGCTGTGCTAAATTAGCAGGTACTAAAAGCTTCTTACTAAGACAGAATTGAACAAGTGTCGGCACAACAGCAGTCCGAGTCACTGAGAGATTGTTCCCAGTTCTCCGTGCCAAGCTAAGAAGTTAGCCACGAGTCTGAACTGAAATTGAGACATCATTCAATGCCGATTATGTGCCCTGACAACTTTAAATGCTATACGGTCATTGATGCTTCACCCTCCCCTGGCTGTCATATGTCTGAAATAATGCGTCTTATATATATCCGATTAAATTAAATTAAAAGCGATATGCTTCATCCCAAGTCCCTCTGGGTATGAGAGCATCTTTGCCTTGACAGGACCAATATACGTCGATCGAAAATCTGGCAACTTCCATATGTCATAGTGTTGCTGTGTACTATGCCATCCGACAACCAAAATAGATAATACACTCCGACCAGTCGGGCTCTCTGGGTGAGATACCACGGGGCGAGTATCCCATGTGCTCATGAGCCAATACGACGGTGCCAGATCCTCTGGCAACTTGTTCAACACGGCCTCTCTCATTGTATTCAGAACCTCTCTGGTGCCGGCATCATCCTCAACTGACAAGCCTGCCACAAATGGCATTGTTGTGAGATCCACCATTGGAGCTGACTTGATACCTCCGACTGAAGATAGTGTAGGCGTAAGCTTCGTCCTGAGCTTGACGATTGCAGGACTAGGGCAAGCCAAGGTCTTGAGCTCGGTTGTAGAGATGGTTGACTCCTCATTTGACCATTCTAGATTGGAGAGGAGGAATATTCCTTTAGCTTATGAACTCAAAATAGCTCTGTCACGGAGCAGTAACTATTTATGATGTGTAGCTAGAGGGTACAAAACTCACCAATAACCCAAACTAACGCGTTCGTATCCTCTTCTGACCGTCCCCAAGCCGACCAGTTGTATCCGTCTTGAAGCCTCGCCTCTTGGAACAGGTTCAGGAGTCGCTTTCCCTTTTGGTCTTGAACATTCTCTGGCTTCACCTCCGCAGGGAGATGAAAGTAGATAAATTCTGTAATGATGTGACTGACATCCATATTGAAAAGCTCTGAGTGGTACTGGAAATACTGTCGCAAGTGTGAATATAGACTTAGATACTCCTAGTATAACATTATAAGATAAGAAATTGGCAATAGGGAAATTTCAAGACTTGGAAAGCCGCGCTATCATCTGAAGCCTGGAATGAGCAAATGGGGCTATTACAAGAGACACACCGGATCCCCGAGCGGATCGAGAAGGTGAGGGGTTCCACCACTTGTCCGATCCCGGGTCAACTCAGCTTAGCCAGACTAAGTTCTGTCGGCTGATTTAAGCTCTCAGCCCGTAAGTCTAAGCGGCAAATAATACTTGTGGCTCACAACTTAGACATTATACCGCTTTAGACAGATAAAGGCAGGTGGTGAAAGAAAACCCGGGACCTTGATCTTAAGTGACGAAAAGACTTAGGTAGCTTAGTATAAGATCAAGGTATGCTAGCTTAATTTGGGATAATTGTTATTTAATTTAGTTTAATACTTTATATTATGCTTATATATTCTCTTGCCTTTTAAAGACAGAGTGTCGCTACGACGTTTAAAACCGTCATTTAGATACGCAAGGGCACAATTTTCTGTCAACCAGCAGTGAACTACTGAACAGATCTGTGATCCTTGAGCGCCAAGGAGAAGGAATCGAGTCTTCGATCATGGTGCATGTCTTTAATTTATTTCATGGTATGGCGAGGTGCATACCACCGAGACTTTTCCAGCTAGCAAATATATCGAATGGAAACAGACTCCTTTCTTGAAGATAACTTAGAAGTTAATACCGCCTTGAAAAAGCCTATACACTTAGAAGAATATTGAAGTAAACCTCCAACCAAGTACTCTTCCACCAAAATAGAGATTACTATTGTACCTTGTAGCCCTAATAGATATATCGGAAATGCAAGTTGGACACATCAGTCATGTCGTCCACGTAAGCATTCTCAAACGATTCAGCTACTCCAGCAGCCTCGCGATTCTTGTTGGCTCTTTGACACATGAGCCGATATAACATACCCATTAAGATGGTGCTGGCAAGACAAGCTGTAATGAATGTCCATCCGGTCGTATACCGCGGGGACTCAGACTGAAGAAATGTTAGAGGTCCGGCAAAATTTCCTGTCGCAATTCAGTCAGTTGAATTATGCAATTCCTTGGTACGGGAAATAGACCAGTGGGTCTATTTCTAGTCACCTACCGACGCAGTAGCCAACAAATAAGCCAGCAGATACCGTTGAACGCTTCGTATATCCTGCAACATTGGCAATGGATAGGTTCATTAACACGGCATAAGCAGCAGGATGAAACGCTAGTAGGTACAAGCACATCAATTTGAATCCGTTCGCTATATGGGGAATGTTCCAAATCAAAACACATGAAAGGAGTAAGATTGATGAGCTGAAGGTATAGGACCAAATCCTCAAATTGTATCGGGAGAAGACTGTTGCAACCCACGAGAGGGTAATTGTGGCAACCACTCCAACTGCTCCCGTTGGCATTGTTAGTAGCAAGGAGTCCAAACCCGTATATCCCATGGACACATTGATGATAAGAGGCGTGAAGGTTGAGGTCACCGCGTTAACGGTATTGACAGTGGCAGACATGAAGAAAAGTAACCAGAAAAGTGGGCTCTTTACAGCTTCGAATACTTGCTCTCTCTTGAAGTGCTTATTCCTCACTCCCGAGTTGTTTACACGTAGTCGTGATACAGCGATGAACTTTTCTCGGTCACTGAGGTTTTTTGCAGTGATTGGATCTGGGTCCATGCAGAAAAGAATCACGAAAGCCCATATAATCGTGATACAGCCTGCAAAGATGAACATGTATCTCCAAGGAGACATCGAACCCTTGATGTGGCCAAGCCCAAAGTTGATAAGTGGCGCAGGGATAGCCATCATCGGAGCTGCAGCAAACCAAACCCTACAATGCTATCGTCAGACGGAAGGGATTTCGTAGGAAGAATTACTGAACTCACCCCATGCGAAATGTCTGTTCGACCTTTGTATACCATCCACCGACGACCATCATCCAGACTGGCGAAACACCGGACTCGAGGAGGCCAAGGAAGAATCTCTGAACATAAAGCTCGCGGAAGCTATTACACCAACCGCCAGCTAGCACACAAGTTCCCCAAAGGAGAACCAAAGTGAAAGCCACGATGTGAATTGGGAATCTTTGGGCGAGGAACGTAGCCGGATATGCACCAGCAATGTAGCCGAGATAGAAGATGGAAGACGCCATAGAAAATCGATTCCCGACAGTGAGCTTGAGGTCGGTTCTCATACCAAAGATGGCCTGTTATGATTGATGTCAGATCCAAAAACAACCCGAGCAGTATTTTCATGACGCTTACGGCATGGGAAAACAGAAACTTGTCATAGAACTGGATTGCAAAGGTCAAGACGAGAATAACCAGAAGTCGTCTGTCAATCTTTCTGACTAACTTGGCTTCTTCGTCAGGTGACCAAGTAGAATCTCCATCGTAGTTGAAAAGAACTTTGAGAGCTTCATCTTGATGGATTGTATCGATCTTGTCGAGTTTATTGCCCCGGGTTACGGTGGACGAAACACGTTCGATATGATCCTGACTTGGGTGTTCTTTAGGAGTGGCCATGACGAGTATGAAGTACTTGCTCACAGGATATAGTAGGGATATTATGAAATAGGGATGCTTGGGTAAAGGATCGATAAAGGCAGCGTGATTATTGAATATATACTGAGAGATATATCCTATCAGCTAACTGATTCCCCTTGTGCTTGATATCGGCCTCCCTTTTCGGACTTCATGTGGGCGATCAACAACTTTTAGAATCCGGGGTTTTCTGGGGAAATCAGGCTTTAAAAACGATGGCTTGAACTAGACCGTGTCGTTCCAAGCCACGATGTGTGTTTGTGGACAAGAGCCAAGGGCCCAGCCTCTGCCAAGACCGCTATGGAGCGTAGTCTAATTGTCTAACTTTTTAACTACTTGGCCAACCCCGCTCTTGGACTTCAACCAGTTGTGAGAACATTTTTAGGTGTCTAAGTACTCAAGGCTTAAAAAGAGTTATAAAGGAAGATGTTAATATAGCAAATTATCCTTTTGTTAAATAGAATTAAACTCTCTCAGTAGTAAAGCGATGAGAGTCACGGATGATTGAAAAGTGCGGAATGTCTCCAGACATACATGATTTAAAATCATGTGCTTAACTATCTGCAACCAGGAGCTCTGAATTCACATCAAACGACCTTAAGAACTTATATGCAGCTTTTGAGAATCTTGGAAGGGCCATCTTGTCCTCAGTACCGTGAATAAAGCAGGTTAGTGGGAATTTAGCTGAAAATAGCTCTACGGGATTAACCCGCTTGTAATTACCGTCTTGCACGATATTTCGGAATAAAGTTCTGTCTCGCAGGTTACTTAAGAGATAAGCATTCTGGGGCCTAGATAAATCCGGCATAGGTTCTGGACTACCGGGTAACCTCTTGAATGATGAAGGAGTAGATGTGATAACACTCTTGCTGTTGACCTTATTAAGGAAGGCTTGTGGAAAACGAAGAACCTGGGAAAAGACTTCCATCGGAGAATGCCAGAATTGATCGTCCAGGTATACAGCAGGAAAGTAAGATACTATAGCCGTGGGTGGAGATGTAGCAGATCCCTAGACGTGTGTCCAATCAGTACCTAGTTGTTCTAGAGGGGGGGTGGGGCTAGAGGTGGACAGCAGACTGAATGGAAACTTACTAGGTGTAAAGCTAGGTTGCCACCTACAGATGAGCCAATGACCCTGACCCTGCTACTGTCGACAGTTACTTGAATATCACGAAATAACAGGGGGGAAGCTCCTTGCATTTCCATGAGAAGCAAGCATGAATATCCGGGATAGGGCCCTTAATGAGAGAAACAGTCGGGCAATGGCGATAGTCTGGCACCATAACAGTGAAGCCGAACTCGTGAATAAGTGACTTAAGCCGAGCCTTGGAGACTCCTGTCTTTGACCTATTGACAAAGCCACCACTATAGATTATAATAACTAAAAAGAGCCATGGTTAGCCATATGTGTTCGACTAAAACTCAAACCTGCATTTCATTGGGTCTACTCACTAATTGGTCCAGCCTCTTTTACACCATCATCTGTCAAAGACTTATAGTGGACATCCGCTTTGAGCGGAACGCCCACGACGGTACTGTAGACATACTCTCTGACATCCATTCTTTTGACCTGGCACGAAATAATATGCGATATTGGGCTTTGGTGGAGTTCTTCGGAATATCTCCATATGAACCTAACTAAATACAGTCACGCGGACTGGTCGGAAAGTCAAATCGGCCTCGGAGGTGGGAGTGGACAAGGGTTAGGTCGGGCCACAAGTGCCGATTCACCACTGCCCACCACCACAGGTCAAGGCATGCATAGTCTTCGTTACCCTGTACTCGTAGTCTCGTTCCACCTGCAGAGAAAACGTGTCGTTTTAAAGACATTGAGGGTTTTCAATGATTCCTAGCAATCAATCTACAATCTTGCTCTACTCTCAATTGTTATACATTCAATTCGGATACTCTTTTTATTCAAGCATCATTTACAAAATGGGTTCTACTCTGCTACCAATTGACCAGCTCCGAGCATCGCTGACTGCGTCTGATGTCCTCGTTCCAGGGGATGAGGGTTATCAAAGCAGTCTCCATAGATGGTCTGAAGCAGCAGAGAAGCCAGCTGTAAGTGTTTGTCAGCATTGGGACCCCTGATCTAGCCAAATACGGTAGCATCAGGTCTTGAGAAACCCAGGACTAACTCGTGTTATTTCGAAAGGCGTACGTAGTCCAAGTCACCAATGCACATGATGTGTCCCAGGCCCTGCTGTTCGCGCAAGAGCATGGCCTTGATGTTGCTGTTGTCGGCGGAGGTCACTCAACCTCTGGGTCTTCTTCAACAGATGGTGGACTCGTTGTGGACTTGACCAAGATGCGTAATGTTACTGTCGACTACGCCAACAAGACCATCACGGCTCAGGGAGGCACCATCTGGGAAGATGTCGACTATGCTGCCGCCAAATACGGCCTGGCCACGGTCGGAGGCACTGTCAACCACACAGGAGTTGGAGGTCTCACCTTGGGCGGAGGCTATGGCTGGCTTACTGGAAAGTATGGCTTGACTATCGACAACCTCCTTGCAGCTGAGGTCGTGCTCGCTGATGGTCGAATTCTGCAAACATCGGAATCGGAAAACCCTGATCTGTTTTGGGCACTTAGAGGTGCCGGTCAGAGTTTTGGCGTTGCTACGAGTTTCACCTTCCGCGGGTACAAGCAGGAGAATTCTGTTTATGGCGGTTTGCTTGTCTTCAAGCCTGATTCCCTGGAAAAGATAGTCGATTTTGCGAACTGGTTGGTCAAATCGACCGGAGGTGAGAGCGGCATGGTTGTCGGTATTGGCGCTCCCGCACCAGCTCGGAAAGTCAGTGTCCTGACCATCATCTTTTACAACGGTGATCAAGCCAAGGCCAGAGAGTATTTTGCACCTCTCTTTGCGCTTGAGCCAGTGGCCGATCTAACCCGGGAGATGCCCTACAGAGACGTCAACGCAATGCTCAACACTGTCTCGACTCACGGCGATCGGAAGACACAAAAGGGTTCAGCTTTCTCGTTACCCTTGTCGACATCTCTCGCCAGGGCTCTTCTCACCGACTACACCAAGTTCATCACTGATGTTCCAGATGCTGCCAAGTCCATTATACTCATGGAATTCTTTTCACAGAGGCAGGTGAATAAGGTCTCACAGACGGCAATGTCATTTGCCAACCGTGGTGAGCATTACAATATTCTTTTCGGCACTCGCTGGGTCGGCAGCCAAAACGACAAGGCATGCCGAGACTGGACTCGTAATATGGGTCAGAAAGTCAACGAGGAGTTGAAGAAGAGTTTGACTGGGGATGGCGTTGGAGAATATGGAAACTATGATGGTATGTGATATGCAACCCGCCAAAGTGGCGTTACTAACCAGCTTACGATCTTTTTAGGCGTTGCTACATCTCTAGCCCAAGAGATTTTCGGGGTAAACTACGAAAGAGTTCTGGCTTTGAAGAAGCAGTATGACCCGAAGAATGTGTTCAACAAGGGCGCTGGAAAGTTTTCCATGTAGTGCAGCGTAAATAGTTAGTAGCTTATAAGTCAGATAAAGAAAATCAAAGTGTTTCTTGTGAAATTTTTGTTTACCAAAAGACTCCGTAGTTGACTGCTACCTATAACTTTGAGCTACAGGCGGCGAGTATAGGTGATGAATGCAAAGGAGCATTGTTGTGTTAGTAGTGAAGTATGTAGGACTAACTGCGAGCGGTGCAAGTATAACATATTCGACTAGCGTTTAACCTCTGGACAATAATACCCACGGCTTATCAGCTACAAATTGACATCCATTGGCAATCTGGCGTTCTAAACATGCCAACAATTTAGATAGGTAGGAGTAAACCACACTGACGTTACGTGGGATACGTATGTAGCTAGCAAGGTAATTTTGAGCTGGCTTTGCCGACCGAGAAGATCCACCTAAACCAAGCACTATGGATGCTATGGTCTCTCCACGATTACACCGCGTTCGCCGACGCCATTACGTTTGGCGGAGTTCCAGCGACGGCAACTGTCGGAACGGACTTTCTGGTGGCTGCAGGTTGTCTAGTCACCAAACAATCAATACCCTTCGAGTCAGTCCGAGTCCGAGCGCCTGCATTTGCTCGGAAGTAAAGTGGTGGAGCAGTTGGCTTGTGCCTTTTTGGAATGGCAAGATGAACGCGAAGTGGCGCAAAGAAGCCAATTGCATTAGGGATAATAAAAGCTATGACTGACGACCGGTTTGCAGATTCTTATTCGCGGCCTATATCCTTATACAGTCTAGTTTGTGGTTACTTTTGGGGTTTACTAACCAGCCTACCAGCCAGCTCCTTCATAAATTACAACTTAATTAGACTGTTGCAGCGGCATTGCACTCATATTATTTTTAAAAGTCAAAAGCTCTAGAAATAAAGCTTCCAACCAATTATGTCCCAGTCGATAGTACTCATCGGAACTCTACTTGCAACCCTCGTCATCTGGAAGCTTGTGCAGACATGGCGACGACCCCCGTTTCCACCTGGCCCTAAAGGGCGTTATCCGTTTATGGGTATGACTTTCGACATGCCTAGCAAGAGGCCTTGGGAGACGTTTGGCGAATGGGCGAAGTGAGTATCCTTTTCATTCATGATCAAAGTCGAGTTTTGTTACTAAACACGCATGAGATAACAGACAATATGGCCCGATTATGTACTTCCGAACAGGCCTGCAACATGTCATAGTCATCAGCGACGCAAAAGTCTACCGGGAACTTATCGGAATGCGGTAAGAGATATTCTTAATCCGTGGACTGATAGGCGGAACTGACCATCTCCATCCAAGAGCGAGCATTTACTCCGACCGCCCACCATCCGAGGTCGGTGATCTGATCAGTGGTGGAAGACGGAGTGTCTTGATGCCATATGGCACCAGGTGGCGGGTAATTTCCCCTCTCTACTGGACTGCGGTATTCGATTAGCTTACCTTGCGAGTAGATGGTTCGTCGGATTTTTACAAACGTTCTCACAGCTAAGAAATGCGATGGATATGTACCCTATCAAGAGCTCGAGTCCCTGGCCACCATCCACAATATACTGCATGAGCCGAAGGGTTACGCGCACGAACTTCATCGCTACGCCTTATCGGTTGCACGAACGGTAGCTTTCGGCAAGCGAGTGCCTACATCCTCGAGCGAATTTGCGACTGAGATGCGCGACGTCATGGAGAACTTCAGTAAGGCCATGACACCCGGAAAATATCTTTTTGAAGCTATACCCATGTTGCGGAAGCTCCCTAGCTTCGCGCAGCCGTGGCTCAGGGAACTGGAGAAGTTTAAGAACCTTGAGCTTTCCTTCGCCCTGAAGTGTTACCGAGATGCAGTACGCCAGGCCGAACTCCATCCCAATAGACCCTGTATGGCACGTGAAGTCAAGGCGGAGATGGAGAAAGCCCAAGAGGACGATGAAGTTCAGGCCTCTAGTACCTGTATGGAGATTCTCGGGGCAGGGTCAGAGACAACCGCGACTGCCCTCCATTTTACCATTCTGGCCTTGGCCACGCATCCAGAAGTGGTCGAGAAAGCCCACGAAGAGCTTGACCGTGTTATAGGACAGGATCGGTTCCCCACCTGGGCAGACGAGCCAAACTTGCCATACATCAGGGCTATTATTAAGGAAAATCAGAGGTGGAGGTCCATCTCGCCGATGAGTAAGCCTGACGGTGCTGGATACCAGAGTTCGAGATGCTAATTGCTAAAAGGTTTTCCTCATTACACAAGTAAGGACGATGTGTACAACGGATACTATATCCCAAAGAACTGCGTCGTCCGTGTGAACCATTGGTACGTCAATGGCAGCTTGAGGCTCCCCGAAGTTCCTCTGGCTCGTCGTTATCCCTGCAATGCGTCAAACTTACAGAAAAATAGGATGATGCATTCAAACTATGAACGGTACTCAAACCCGGAGAAGTTCGACCCAGAGCGCTTTATCAATCACACGCAATCAGCCGCAGCTTCTGCTAACGCGGTGGACGCTTCCGAACGAGATCACTTTTCCTATGGTGGTGGAAAGCGCATATGCCCGGGCATCCATCTGGCTGAGCGAAGCCTATTCATGATGACGAGCCGAATGCTGCAGACATTCAAGTTCGGGCGACCCCTAGACCCCAAGTCAGGGACGCCGCGGGAGCTGACAGCGGAAGACATTGGCGTTAGTACGAGCCTGATCATGACACCTGGTTCTGATTTCGACATGTCTTTCGAGCCAAGGAGCAAGAATATAGGACAGCTGTTGGAGAGCGAGTGGCTTGAGAAGGTTGCACATCAGGGTGAGAGCTGGATGGACTGATGGGACAAAGGTAAGTTAGTCCGGTTATATCCGATTATAGCCGTAGCGGTGTCGAATAGTATAGACTAAATAGTTGGTGATAGTATACAAGCTGTAGCCGTTAAGCTAATGTTTACTCTGTTAAATAAAGGTGTCACTGCGTGTATAGCACTGATACGTATATTCACTGCCGTCTAATACCTAAGTTGTCGCTGTGCCATCTCGAGATGCAATGATCTTATGCCAAATCATCAGTATCCTTTTATATGCCTCAAACCTTTTTGCCTGGCCTGGCCTGGCCAATTACAAACCAACCGCGGGGATAGCGGGAAGCTCGGGATGTTGCCCCCGCAAAAATGGTAGATCTAACACAAAAGGGCATTAGCTTGAAATCTGCATTGTCCTTAGCGTGAGATTCCCCGCATTTTCACAGACGCGGGGGTTAGGAGGAGATGCCAGCCTCCCTTTAAAAACTCGTTTCACTCGTTCCTTTCTTTCTTCGTCATCCGTGACCTCTCCTCCACCGCCGACCCCGAATCGAGGCCACGTCTGTCACTCAATTGTTGCCTATCTACCAGCCAGCCCAGCCCAGCGGGTCCATCTAGGAGTCCACTTTCTGGTATGGATTCCGACTCCTGTCCCGTTTGCCACAAAATATTTAGTCGCAAGTACATACACCCATACCCTTGTCTTTGTTGAGTGCAATCATGCCTCACTAGCCACTCTGAAAATGCACAGCAATTCCCTCTCTGGGTTCAAAAACTAACAAAATATATCAGGGACAGCTTAAAGCGACATGTGAAGATGCACGAGAGGGGCCCCAGGCTGAGGAGAAAATCTTGCAACCATTGCCAGAGGTAGCCCTTTTTCTTAATGCTTTAACTTTTTACACTTCATCCTGACATGCCAATCAAGGTCTAAGCTCCGTTGCTCAGGAACAAGACCTCAATGTTCAACCTGTGTCCGAAGAGGTGCAGCCTGCGAATATCCTAGCCGTCTCATGAGCCCAACGCCGGGTGATCCCAGCCCAGACTCGGATGATCATCCCCAGGCCGATTGCTTTACTCCTCCCGCTGACTTCTCAGAGGGCGCGGCATCTTTAGATGGACAACAGGAGGCAGCACAGGGTCCTTCGCCATCATCAGAGTTGTTTACAAGCGCTAGCTCACTACTCCCATCAGCATTCACTAGCCTGAACTGCGAGGGGGGTTCTAACTTCTCTGCCCCAACCGGCCTGGAGCAGAACGGGGATGATCTCTTTTTTAACTTCGGTGGACTCAGCCCTGACTGGATCTTCTCATTATTTGACCCTTGTTCACACCTCGACACCTTCAGCATGCCAACCGATTATCAAATGCTTGATGAGCCCGTCCTTCATCTCGCGGGTCAGAATTCGTTTCCCAACGCCCAAGAACCGTCAGTCAGGTACAGCGCTAGGCAGGGACCTCATCTCGACAATTGGCTCTTGAGTACCGCTGAGACCAACTGCAACCAATCGTTGGTCATTCCACAGCTTGGTGGCGATAGCGACAGATCCCTGAAACACGGCTCGCACTTTCAAATGACCAAGGTTGAGGAATCGCAGAGATCTCAACTACTGAGCTCCGCCCAGACGATCCTGGAAAGGCCGTTGTGGAAAGCTGTTTCGCTGGCTAATTTTCCGAGCAAGGCAAAGATAGATCACTGCATTGATCTTTTCTTTGTCAACTTTCGACCTGTAGGGAACTATATAACACCCATTGTCACGTCAACCCGTGCTCATCTGACCTTCTTATAGCCCATCAGCTTCATTCACCGACCTACCCTTAACCCAACCACTATATCAGAGGTACTTCTGCTCTCGATTGTTGCCATTGGAGCTAGGTTCAGCAGCATGCCGGGTGCGATAGTATTCGCCAATTCGATTGCTGAACTGAACCGTCGTATACTCCTGCTCATGGTCAGTCAAGTTCGCGTTTCTTTTAGTTGAAGAATGTCATGAAGCTGAATCATCTATTCAGAACGAACAAGATTCAAGCCACCGGTACTCGGAGGACTATCTCACCGCTCAGCTTCTTCAAACGACGCATGGCCGTGGCAGTGGACATAGGATATTATTCCGCCATAGCAGAGATTTGCGGTTGTTGCTTGTTCGGCATGCTAGGGAAGCAGGTCTCTTCCAAGAGCCGAAGCCCCGTCAAAATGCACCCGACGAGTCCTCTGCCACCACGGAAAGCCGGTGGAAGGCCTGGGTTGCGGCGGAACGCCAGAGAAGGTTGGGCTGGGCCATATATGTAAGTTCTCTATGCTCATCCAAAGCATTATGTTATTGAACAGAAGCTGATTTTACCTCTTAGGATCTCGACGCAACTGTTGGTATCTTGCACAACGATAGACCGGCTTTCAGTATCGGCGATATGGCACTCTCTCTACCTGATGAAGATGCTTGTTGGGAAGCCCCTACCGCTCACTCATGGATGGCACTTCGTCCATGGCAGCCATCCCATGAAAACAGAATCGAGTTCCGTAAGGCTGCTCGAGAATGCTTTTACCCCAGCCTGACTGACAGGATTCAACTGTCTGATGACCAGCACTTGCATGTCATCACTGTCACACTTTGCCGATTTTTGTGGTCCATGAAAGAACTCCAGGGGTCTCCATTGATGGATGCTGTTCCAGAAGACTGGCCCCTCGTGAATCATAAGCGGACCCTCCTCAAGAAGCTGGATCAGTTTCTTACCTGTCCAGAGGCTGCCAAAGCCAACAAAGACGACGCTATCCTACGGCGGATCGTTGAAAGGTTACTAATAATCCATCTGTGTCACCTGTACGGTGCTGGAGACCTTATGGATTGGCTACTGCCGTTACTTCGCGCTGGAGGCCAACACAAAGAAGCACGGGCAAGAATGAGTAAATGGGGTGTTGAGGACAGAGGGAGATTGCGCCAAGTGGCTTATCACAGCGCTCAAATCTTGGCTCTGAGTCGATCTTTCCCTTTCAACCTCCCTTGCGAGTCACTCTATGCATTTTACGCCGGGGGCGCACTTTGGTGTGCCACAGTTCTGCTAGGAGACCTAGAACCTGGTACTGATACCGAAGCATGCAACGACGGGGACGAGAGCCACCAAGTCACTGTTCTACAACTCGATGCATTCCATTTATTGGATGGTGAAGACTATCGTAAAGTACATCACTGGCTGTGTGAAGGCGGTCGAGCGAGAGTCGGTCTGTTTGGTGTACCGCGCTTGGGAAGCAAGGAGAGCCATGTGCAAGTTCTTAAAGAAGCACTACGGATTTTGCAGAATATGAGAATATGGGAGCTTTCAAAAGGGTTTTCTGACTTTATACGAAAGCTCATAACAGCTGAGTCCAGCATTCAATAACCACATATTGAGGTGAATAGGTATTCTTATCCTTGTATAATGTAGTAACAGAGTATCAAGCATGTTGAAATAGTCTTGCAGAATTTAAGCTGTTCAACTGGGCACACAACCTTCATCATGAACATATGGAATACACCAGACGTGCTCTGCTAACCTTTCCCTCCTTCAAATCAACCAGTCCCTTGGCAATAGCGGCAAGCCCTCCATCCCTCATATTTGTCTGGATAGGCTGGATCTTATTCTCTCTAAGCAGCCTCTCAGCACGCGGAACAAAATTTGATGCAAATTCAACATCCTCCAAGACAATAGGGAAGATTGGACCTTGAGCATCGAGAGAAAATGGTCTACCCAGAACCGTGAAAGCCACAATGCGGAGCGTCTTGACTCTTGTGTTCTCTATATCCGGGCATGTCCTGGTGCATGCTATGTAAACACCGCCTTTTGGCTCCATGACAGCGGCACAGATAGCTGATGACGCATGGTTAGAGATGCAATCAACTGTAGCAAGCTGTCTATCACCAGAGGCTTCAATGATACGTTGTGCACAAAGAGGGTCCCGCTACGGAATGATAGTGGTCAGTCAGTGGTGGTCTCTCTCGATGTCATCTCCATGAACCTATCCCTTGAGTGACCTGAACTCACATAGTCGAAGACAGCATCTGCGCCGCATTGCTTAACAAAGTCAAAGCTATTCTCAGAGCTTGTTGATATAACGTAGATGCCAGACCTAAGTGTGATAATTAGCTAGACATCTCTTTTAGCTTGAAGAAGTGAGAGGAGAGGTCTTACAACTTGGCCAACTGAATCTGCATCGATCCAATGGCGGTACCGCCACCATATATAAGCAGCACTGGTTGCGCCGCCTGTGCCCTCTCACTCTTTTCTGGATATGGGAAGGAGAGGTGGCTGTATAGGCAGAATCCAGCAGTAAAGAGCGCAGTAGGCAAGGTTGAACCCTGTTCAGACGAGATGTTCAGAGGTAGGCGCACCAAGATATGGGCTTGCGCAACTAGATAGTCCGCAAAGGCACCATCATCGGGCCTCAAAGTGTTCCCTAACAGGCTCACATTAGTTTCAGAGTCTTATCCAGATTGTTCATGCCAGCTTGCCTCCTTGTATCATTCCCGCCACTCGATCTCCGACTTGAAGCCTCTCGACATGATCCCCAAGACGTTCAACAACCCCTGCAAAATCGCATCCAAGAATGGTAGGCTCTGCAAGGGCCTGACGGTACATCATTTTCCAGTCTATTGGATTCAATGCCACAGCCGCAACTTTGATTAACACCTCGCCTGGCCCAGGCATGGGCACAGGGCATTTGTCGATAGTAACATTTCCGGGGCCAGCATGGCGGAGAGCGGAGCGTGTAGGCATTACGTAAACTCTGTTGATACAAAAAAAGAATACCGAGTATATGCAAGTTCTGTCCAAAGAGGTATTAAAATCATGCAGATTCTGAGAAGTGATCCACAAGGCTACTGGAAAATGATATAAGACCTAACATTATATTTCCTGCGAATGACTAAGGCTATCTTTTGGAGGGAAAGCCTGTCGGAGATATGTTAGGTCCGAACTGGACGTAGTTTGACTGCAAACCCCACTTCGGCACGGTAAATCATTCTTGACTTCACTTGCTATGAGTGGTTAGATTGTTGGTGCGTGGCAGGGATCGGAGCATGTGTGCCGTGCCCATAGGCCGATCGGAGTTCCGGTGGTAAAACCTCCACGGACATGTCGTGCCTGCGTTTCCGTTGGCATTACTAGGAATGAGCAACTGATTAATTAGAGTAAATTTTCTTTGTAAAGGCTTGCCATATCGCATTGAAAACCGTCAGGCGTTTGAGACTTGCAGAACCTTCAAACACAAAGTACCCAACTTCCTGTATTATCTTTTATCCGTTCCAGCTGAGAGTCCTTAGCCACCTTTCAACATGTCTTCAACCATAGAGACCCCCCCGAAATTCAAAAGCCTCCTGGAGCTCCTCCCTGGAAATCTTCCCCAGGCCAATGTACCTCCGAACACCAACTTGGAGTCAGTTGCGGATCATGTTCTCAAGTCGTTCCCCCATATCGATAAACGCCATTTCACAACAGACGCCATCTGGCGTGACACATATGCCTTGACAGGAACTATACGTACATTCTACTTTGAAGCTGCGGCAGAAGAATGGTCTGCTCTTAGCAATACCCACGGTGTCTCCTCTGTTTCTCTTGTGCCTGGCTCTGCAAAGATTCTGAGTCCCGAGGGAGGTATTGAATGGATCGATTGCAAGTTCACCTTCCATACAACCACTCCTGCCACTGAATGTTCAGGCATGCTCTCGCTCGTTCCATCCTCAGATGGTTCATGGAAGATCTGGATTCTTCGTACTATTCTTGAGCAGCTTAGCAACCACGGGAATGTAGATTCAATGGAAACTGCTGATATCTTATTTAACGGTAACTGCGCAATTGAAAACGAATCCTATTCAATTGGTACATCCAATCGAAATGATTCGCTCAAGGGACTCCCCAATGGCACTACTGCAGACCAAAGCCCTCGTCACTTTGACGCTGTAATCATTGGGGGTGGACAGAGTGGTCTTAGTACTGGCGGGCGTTTGCAAGCTCTCGGAGTATCCTATGTTATAATTGAAAAAAACGCTCAGGTTGGTGATGCCTGGGGCTTGAGATATGAGTCAGCACGTTGTGAGTTCTTTTCTCAACCCCCGTCAAATATCTTCTGGCCATTCAACTGACTGATACCTGCTCTGAAGTGCATACTGTTCGCGAATATTGTACGTCTCATTCTGATGATCATAACCTCCACTGACTCATATTCTAGCCCACTTGCCTTTTGATAGGACCTTTGGATCCGATTATGGCGAGTACCTGGGGAAAGATGAGCTAGCCAGAGGGCACAAGAAGTGGGCAGAGAAATATGGCATCGTGAGCCTTAAGACCTTGTGACAAGGTATCCCCTTTGCTAACTCCTTGGGCATAGGATATCTGGCTCTCAACAAACGTGACATCAGGCTCCTGGAACGACGACACAAGAACCTATACTCTTGATATCGTGAAGGAAGGGCGTTCTATGCAAATTATAACCCGACATGTCGTAATAGCAACAGGTGCAGGGTCTCAGACCCCTGTATTTCCGAATATCTCCAACAAAGTCAGTTATGCTTCACTCGGCATTAAAAGAGTTCTTGACTAACAAGGCTGAGTAGGATTCGTTTAAGGGAACTTTATTACATTCTGCCGACTACTCAAATGCACAAGCCTGGGCCGGAAAGACTGGCATTGTGATTGGCACCGCGAATACAGGTCAGTATACTAACAAGTCCGCCATGCCATCATTCCTTCTTTAACTTATCGAACAGCACACGATGTTGCCGATGATATGTACGAAGCCGGTATGAAAGTGACGATGGTTCAGAGGAGTCGCACCTGTAAGTCTCCATAGACTCACGAAATATTCATGTTGCTGTGGGCTTACTTTTTGGGTGTTCGCACAGTCGTTCTTCCAGCCGAGTTCATTAAGGAGCGTTATGATCGTAAGTCAAACTCCTCCAAATTTCATGTCCAATTAACTAATCACCTATTTAGTTATATATAATGCCCAAATTCCCACAGAAGTCAGTGACAGAGCCATGTTTACACCGCCAGTATCAATCGCCCGTCTGCTTTCTTTCAAGACATTCCATGCCATGGCCCGGTCACAACCAGAGAGATACGAGGCCCTCGAGCGCGCTGGCTTTCGGGTTGATCCTTTTGGAGATATTCAAGATGCAATTAATATCCGTTTAGGTGGACATTACATTGATGTCGGGACATCCGCCAAGATCGGAAAAGGCCTGGTAAGTCACTCTCCATAGAAGACTGATCTAAAGTCCTCAAGACTTATTTCACAATAGATCAAGGTTAAATCTGATGCCGCAGCTGAACGGTATACGGAACATGGCCTGGCCTTCTCAGATGGGACCGAAATCAAGGCCGATGTAATTATGCTTGCGACTGGCTTCGTCGGTAACCTTCGACAGCACGTAGACAAGATCTTTGGCTCAGCCATTGCAAAGAGAGCCAGAGATTGTTACGGGTTAGATAGTAAAGGCGAGGTTCTTGGCGCATATAAACTATTGGAACGTAAGTACCTAGTTACAGTGACTTAAACCCTTCATAACTTATGCTGACTAAACTTTTTAATAATAGAACCCGGGCTATGGTATATCGGCGGCTCTCTTGGAACGGCAAGATACTTTTCTCGGTTCATTGCACTGTCCATTAAAGCTGATGTTCTGGGACAGACTTTGCCTGTTTACCGAGATCACAAGTTTAATATTAAGTAAGGTTTTTAGAATAGAAGTTACATAATAGAAGCAATAGAGTCTAAATGTATATGTTTACAGTATATATATATATATATATATGTATATTTTTTATCTGGGGGTCATAAGGCCTGTAAAGTCCCCTATTGGGGTATAGGATATGCTAAGCTAGAGTCTTTAATACTAAAATCTATATAAAGCTTTTATAAATTAAGAATAGATTACTATCTAGTATATTATCAGCTTAAAAGCATATCCTATTAAACCTATTATCTGTTAGCAAGATAACTAGATATAGCTATTATAGCAGTAGCCACTATATCGGTCAGTCTTTAGTAAGACTAAAGAGAGGGCAGCAATATAACTATATAAGGCAGCTAAGACTATAAGAATAAAGAAAAGAAATAAAGAAATAAAGAAACAGAAAGGAAAGAAAGATAGAAGGAAAGAAAAGGCATAAATATATCTTTAATCTGCCTTATCTAGTAATAAGTATATATCCTTTTAAAGAAGGCGCTTAATTTAGTTAACTTAATATACTTATTAAAATTCCTTTCTATTATAAGGTTAGCTGCTGCAGTTAGTAAAGAGATAAGCCTTATTTAAAACTATTGCAGTACTTTCTTATAGTAGAAGATATAGTTAGGTGCTTTATATTATCTATATAAGTAAGTTACCTATATATTGTTATAGTTAAATTGTTTATAGTATGCAGTAAAATCCCTATAGAGGGACCTTACTGTAAGTAGATAGTATAGGGTAGCTTAAAGAAGTAAGAGTTCTAGTAGGCAGCATATAGTTACCTTAAGATTTAATCTTTTATATTATTTAGGAATAGAGGTTATCTACTATATTTTAAAAGCTTCTTTTAGTTTCTGCCTTGCCACCTTATATAGGTATACTAATATTAGCTAAATGCCTTTCGGTTTTAGTAGTAAAGATACTACTTTTACTAATTTATTAGCTTATTTATTACTAAAAATATCTATATAGCTAGGTATCTAGTATACTTATATCGCTTTATATAATGCAGCTAATGCTTAGAACTTAATAAAGACTGCTTATAAAGAATTAGATAGTATGCCCTATAGGCATATAGCGGCTGCCAGATTATCTAGACAGATTATAATATCCTATACTGCTAATCCTAGGAGGTTTAAAGTGGCTTTAAGGCCCTTTAGTGCTTCTATAGCTTTAGCGTTAAAGACCTTAGTAAGTCTAAGACAGCCTAAGCTATTATAAATAGAGAGGTCCTTTTAGTGAATAGTAAAGCTATAGCTGGCTGCTCCCTCTAAAGACAGTAAGCCATTTAAGTATATAATTTAGGTAGTTAGGTCTACTATCTTAACCTATTAGAGAAAGGCCTTAGCTGATTTCTCTTTTAGGGCTATCTGTAGGGATATATCTTATCTCTTACCGAAGAATTTCTACATAAAGGCTAGTTATAGACAGGATATAAGGAGCTTATTAGTCCTTTAAAGATAGGTTCTAAAGCTGCTCTCTATTAGAGTTTAGTACTTCTACTTAATAAGCTAATAGTATATAGGTTACCTAGATAGAAGTGTATACTTTATAAAGAGGTAAGCCTTATTAAGGGATTTAAGCTAAGTAGAGAAATAGTATTAATATACTTTAAGGAGCTAAGTAATAGGTAGTATCTCGCTTTCCTAATAGAGGATAGCAATTGGGGTTATCTTTTAGATAGGGAGTATAGCTTATATAAATTAAACTATAGCTTTATTTATTTTCTATAAGATATATTAAATACTTAATGGCCTATCTTTAGATAGTTGGTCTTACTGCAGTTAGGTTACCTCTAGATACTATACTTTAGTGCTATAAAGCAGGACTGGTTTAATGCAGGCCCTAATAGTGCTTTATATAGCACTAGAAAGCAGGCTATATATTATATTAGTAAGTCCTTATAGATAGTAGGCAACTGCCTGTAATTTAGCTATCTACTTCTCTATATAGATTTAGAATAATAGGTTACTATCTAGCTAGATGCCTAACTAGCGCATTACTGCCTTAAGGTACTTCTTAATATCACTATAGTATATTACTAATGCAGTCTTAAACTTACTTTAAGAGAAATATATAGCTTTAGTCTTTTTAGAGTTAAAAGATACCCTATTTATAGCGCCCTAGCAGGCTATTTCTTTAATAGAATATAATGCCGCAATAGCTATTTCCTTAACTGTATTGCCAATATATAGGATAGCTGTATTATCTATATAGCCAAACTGGCCTTAGGGGTTATTTAGTTAGTAGATAGGCTTTATATATAATAGAAAGAGGATTAGTAATACTAGCAATCCCTAAAGGAGACTGCATTAAAGAGAAAAAAGTAGGGTAATTATATCTTAATACCTAATATAAGTAGATCAGTTATCTATAAAGGATCTAGCCTATTAGGCAAGATATTTAGGCCAGCCCTATTTTTAGAGTTATAGAATTAGTCTGTTATACAGGATAGTATTAAATACGCCTTAAATATCTATTATAACTAGTATAGCCACCTTCTTATAAGTAAATGCCTCCTTAATATTATAAACTAAGGCAGCTATAAGGTCTATAGCAGACCTTTTTAAAAGCGCTTTAACTTGCTGTAAGTAAAGGACTTTATAGTAAATATATGCCTACATAAGATAGTATATAACTAACCATTCTAGTCCCTTACCGAAATAGGAGAGTAAAGAGATAGATTACCAGGCTTACAGGTTTATTAGGTCTCTATATTTAGGTTTAGCAATTATAACTACCTTAGCCACTTTAAAAGGCTTTAGGTAATAGCCTATAGTTAGGCACCCCTTAAAGAGGCAGCAAATATATATTCTAATAATATACTATACTGCTATAAGGAGCTTAACTATAATATTATTTGCCTCTAGCGATATATTTCCGGTATAGAGGGTTACATTCTATATTTCTTCTAGAGAGATTTTTTATAGAAATAGGATTATTTTATAAGGGCTGACCTTAATTTAGGGATTCTAGATATTATCCTTAGCTATCTGATACTTTAGCATCACTTGCCAGAGTGTATTTACCTTATCGAGCTAGGTTTTATAGACTATATTATCTATTTAGAGTAGAGGCAGTTAAAAGGCTCCTGGCGATTTTAGCTATTAGACGGCCTTAAATATAGAGCTGCTATCTAAAAAGCTATTAATTAGGTTTTACTAATAGAGCCTTTTAGTGCGGCAGACTATATAGTAGAAATCTCACTTAGCTATTTAAACCTTTTAGTTAAATCCAAAAGGGTATAGCCTTCTAATTACCTAATACCTAATAGCAGCAAGAGCACACTCTTTAGTCTACTATAGAGTATTATATGCCTCCTTTCTTATAGGCCGGCCTACTACCTTTACTGCTAACTGTAAGAGGCTTACTAATATAGATATAAGCTTATCTAGTTCTAGTAGGCTTAAGGTAGCAATAGAGATTGCCATTAATCCTAGCTCTATAATTTTAATAAAGCACTTAAGCTTATTATCTATTATTACTTGGATTTTGCCTAGATATATTAAGGCCAGCTTAATATTTAGGAGTATTAGGCTAAAGGTAAAATAATTAGAGCTAGTAGTAAGGTAGTCCTTAATATTAGCTTTAGTAAGAGGTATATTTAAAAAGGTAAGGTTAATAGTATTCTTATGCAGGTTTATAGGGATATTTAAGGTATTTAGCAGGCTAAGGCCATTTTCTAATACCTAAAAGGCAATCTTATGGCTGCAGTTTGTAGTTAGGCCTGTCTACTATATATAATATCTAGCGTTAAAGTTACCTATTATAAGGCAGTAATTAGGGATTAGCTATTATAGTAAAGTATCTAGTATATCTTATTTATCATTCTAGCAATAAAAGTTAATTACTATTATATTATTAACTGTAAGCTATAGGATATTGCGGCTTTAGTATAGTTAATTTTAATCTGCTAAGAGTGTAGAGTCTTAGTGGATATATATTATGACTTTAGGTTAAGTAGAGTTACTGTTTTAGGCTTTAACTAAAGAGTAGGTATTATATATAGGATAGATCTTTATAAGGTAGCAGGAGTTTGCTGTTGTTGTCTATGGTTCTTAGAGGAGCATAATATTGTATTATTTAGAGTCTGCTAATATAAGGGTATAGTTATAGACTGGAGGAATCTTACTGATATTGGCTTAAAAGACCTTAAGGGTCTTTTTCTTATATCTCTATCTTTATAGGTACCTACTTATACCTATAATTATAGGGATATATAATTAAGATAATATGGCACTTCCTTAGGGACCTAGGTCTTAGGTATTTAGGTTCCTTCTCTGCTTTAGGGGTAGTGGCTATTATGATATAAGATGGCGCTCTTAATGCAGCTAGACTGGAAGCCTAAGGGCTTGATCTTTTTAGGGACCTAGCGCTATCTTGCTATAGGCCATTTTGCTGTAGGTTAGGTATATACCATTATGCTTTTATATTACGCTAGCGAAATATTTTAGCGCCTATAACTTGAATATAGTCTCTCTATTCTTTAATTAGTTAGCAGAAAACGCTATATACCTTCTTTAGGCATGCTAGGCAATCAGTAAAGTTAGCGCTATATAGGCCAAGGCAGTTAGCATATTGCTTAGGGGCGGTACAGTCCCTAAAGTTATAGCCGGCGGCCTTACTGTAGTATTTATATAGAGGGAGTTAATAGCAGGTATATAATAGATAGTAGTTTAAGTATATATTATACTGCCTTAGCCGGTTGGTTTTTTTAATCTGCCTTACTAGTTAGCTGCTAAAGAGGCGCCAGTATTTCTTAATTGGCTCTAAAAAGGATATAAGTAAGGTCTTTATTAAGGGATTATCAGGTTAATGCCGCGCAGGCTATATATTAATAGGTTTCTGCCCTATCTAGATTTCTATTTCCTCCTCTATAGCTATATCACTATCTGCTTTATTGCCATAAAGGTCAGTCAGCTTATAAAAGTAATCTAAGACTAAATAGGTAAACTACTTCTGCCTAGTCTCTATAGCAGCAGCCCTTAAGTTAAGTGCCTATTTAGTCTATCTCTATATAAAGAGATTACAGGTAGTTATATTAGCAGTAAGTACAGCCTATCTAGACCTAACTTAAAGTATGCGCAAGATCTTATGCAGATCTACTCCAAGTTTCCAGGATATATAGGCCTAGATTATATAGTTATTATAGGCCCTAGCCAGAGCTTTAGCATCTAGCTAGATAAAAATATAGAGGTCCACTTAAAGTAAGGCGCCTGCAGCTAGTTATCCCTGGCGATAAGTAGGCTATTATTATTAACGTTATTATTAATAGTATTAGGATTGGCAGGTAAGGACATTATTTGCAGCTAGAGGCAAGGCCATAATGGCACTATAGGTAGTAGGCACTAGAGCAGATTTAGCATTAGTAAGCGCCTAATTTTAAGAGTTTAGAAAGCTGTTAGTAAACTTTTAAGCGAATTCTTATTTAGGCCTAATAGTAAACTATTTTACTGCTTCTTTAAATTTAGCATAAAAGGCTTAAAATACCTTCAATTTGGCATTATACTCCTCTATATAGTTACATATAAGCTTAATAGCTATTTTAATAAGGGAGACTAATTACTATTTAGTAGTTAGGGCAGGATTAGTAAGCAGGGCCTTTTCTATAGCTATAGCAGTAGAGATTGCATTAAGAGGCAAAGATAGCATTTAAGCCGTTCTCTTAAAGGCAGGCAGGACGCCAATAGGTCTATTTATAATAGCAGGGCTGTTTTATAAAAGGGTAATGCAGGCTCCTCAATTAAGATTGGCAGGAGTATAAATACCTAAGTCAAAAGGGTCTAGGACAATAGGCAGGCAGGAGGTAGCAGATGCCATTACTGCCACTATAGGCTACACAAAGCACAGGATTGTAGTTATTATAGTGCACTTATTAAGAAGATTAGTGTAATTAGGGCTACTTTCTTAACATCTGCATGCCAAGAAGGTAAGATAATAAAGGAAGGGGATGTTTACAGTATATAAGCTGCAAATACCTACTATATAGGGTAAGTGACATCATAAACTAATTACCCCACTAAAGCACAATAATGAAGAGCATTCGGAGTCCGAGGTGCCGAGGAGGCCGAGGAATCCTTACATAACCGCAGAAATTAGGCATTAACATCGGGTCACTCGGTGGGCCGGTCCTAAGTCACTGACTTTAACTCTCCTTTTCTGTCGGCTTCACTATGAACTAATTTCACCGCCGGTACCCATCATCACCCATTCATAACAACACACCAGAATCATGACCTCATTTACCGCTACCAGCAGGCCAAAGTCTTCCCGCAGGTCCAAATACACTGCTGTGGCATGGTGAGACTCTTCTTATTCACCCGACCTTAGCCTTTATAGGTAATAATACTTGCATGCAGCCTTGAGTGTCAACGCCGGAAAAACAAGGTCAGAAGAGAGATTGAGTAAGGTTAAGCATCACTGCTGATGATATTGCCCAGTGTTCAGGAGAAAATGAGTGTGAACCTTGTCGGAGACGAGGTGTGCGCTGTGTCTACTCCACAAATGGCAGGCACCGCATTCGGAGAAGACAGTGTGACGAAGTTCGCAACTTCATGAACCTTGCATCGCGGTCCTCGACTTCGGCATCCCCCCCATCATCCCGGTCTATGACACTGAGTCAACCCAATTACCAGAGCCGGAACACTGCTGTAGAGAACGAGATTGAGTCTGTCGACGCCAATTCGATATCGCATGACTCGCTTGATGCACCACAGATCATGCCCATCCCGGCTCTCAACTCAGAACCAAGGCTAGCAGAAGAAAGGATTCGCCGTCTCGAGACCACTCTACAAACTATAGCCAAGTTAAGCTCTCGATCTGTCGCGAATCCCGTTGACTCATGGTGAGAGAAAACCGTTCCTTGTATGCTAAATTAAGCAAGCGTAAAGTCAAAGAAAGGGTCTCGACAGGAAAGTGGCTTACACAGTTGACTGACTCCTTGTACTGGCTTAGGATCCCTTCTTCAAAAGAAGAAGTCCCCAGGCATGTCGTATCCGGCACTGGGAATCAATTTGTGGTTGAGGTTACGGAGCGCAAACCCGATAATATATCTCTGCCATCTCTCCTAGCCGCTACTCAACGCCTGCTTGGATCTTCCAGCGGGAACAGCCCACTACTGTCTCGAACTGGTCGGCAACTCTCACCTCTGTCGGTGCAACTGCCAGAAGTACAGTATATACGATGCTTGTTTGACGTCTGCAGCACCAGACTCTCAATGTACCTCCCAAAAGTTGAGTATAACGAAATTAGCAGCAAGGTTATTCAACCTGTTCCAATGACAGGAGTTGGCGTCGGCAGCCTCCTGATAGAATCAACAGACTTCCTTTTGTATTCGCAACTCTATATCATCATGTCACTGGGACGGTGTTTGCAATCCCGGGAGGACCTTGGACGGGACACGTCTGAGGCTGCCTCATTCTATCACCAGAGCATGTCTCTTATGCACGATGTCCCGTCAATCCCAGCCCACTGGGTTGGCATGGCCAGGTTTCATTTCTTGCGGGCTATCTATTTGATGCAAGCCGATGACTTGCAGGCCGCAGGACAGGCCATCTCGGCGTCACTACAATACGCCTGGCAGTGCAAACTCAACGATCAGTCAGTTTGGTCTTGTAAACCACAAGAATCTTTGTCACGGAAAAGACTATGGTGGGCAATATACTGCATGGAACGCCGGCTTTGCCAGAAGATTGGAAAACCGTCTGGGATCTGTGACAAAGAAGTAGCAGTCGATGACCTTGTATCAAAGGAACAATTGATGGTCTGTCAAGACTTGGATGTTCTTCCAGAGCAAATCAGCCAGGACGACTTGCATCTCCAGATACTTGTCAACATCAGCAGGTTATGGGGCAAAGTTTGGGATAAGTTCTTTAGGGCTGGGAGTCATACCTCTGACAGTGATGAAGAGGTGGACATGATGAGCCTTCGGATATCCCACCTCCACCGTAACGTTCCGGCCATATTCCAGTGGTCTAATAGTATCCTGGATAATCTGGTTGAAGGCTCTGAGCTAGACTTGCACACATCCAGAAGATTAGTGATTCACGTGGTAAGTCAGTCTCGTTCCGCAGTAGCTCTTAGACCATTACCTAACTCGCACTTCGCCTTTATATAGCGTTACACTCTTCTCCGACTTTTAGTCCGCCAGAACCCAACACGGACCGAGCCTGTTAATCTTGAACAGGCAAGATTCTGCCATATGCTGGTTTCTGAAGTGATTGACACCCTCTCCAAACTTATCGCTGTATATTCGATCCCGAGAATCGCCTCTCTAGCGTATTTCATCGCTTCGGCTCTCACCGAGTGCAGCTACCATGTTGCTGCAGTCCTTCATAACCCGGTTTGTAAGGCTGAGCGTTTACCTGCATTACAAACGATGAAGAAGTTAATAGAGTCTCTCAAACTACTATCACCATCAGTCAAAGCCGCCCAACGAGCCTACTCAATACTTAACCCTCAAGCCATGTATGCTTTTCAAAGCTCCATGAATTGTGGTCCCACAATCGATGGCTCCAACACCCCTTTACAATACCAAGAGATTGGAGCTGAAGCCTACTTGCAGTCCATGTTCGAGTCTTGGCATGGCTTGCCACTGGCCAGTTCCAACCTACCTCAAAGCTTTGAAGGTTGCTCTGCAATACTCAATGAAATTGGAATAGTATCACCTGATAATTTCAGATTTGAGACATCATCTGGCGGTGCTGCGTTGGGCCTGCCGTTCTCTGCAGATGGTGCAGCGAACGCCGCGACAGATATGGACGAACTGTCATTCCCGTATCTTTACTTACCTGATATTGGATAGACTCACGGAGACGGAATATCCACAGAGACCATTAAGCTACAAGAATTCTTTTCTGCATGCATTTAATTCTGTCTGCAAAATTAATATCCTCAACATGTCTCCCCGTATCGAAGTTCTAATCCTGACTATCACCGTTGACCTCCGACTCAAACTTATCCATAGCTAGCCTCACCAAGTCAGAGCCAATGATATGTCTCTGATATTGTCCGTCAATCCATGTCCATTCGCTCTGTGACTCACTCGTCATCCCAGAAAACTCCCTGTCCCGTTGTCTCTGTTCCTCCCCATCCGGCAGGTGGTACATGACTCTATTAGTAACCGCTCCTTTAACATTCAGCGTCGAGTATGGCTTTTGAAGTGACTCGAAGATACCTAGAACCTTTGGTAGTGTCATTTCACAGGCCTCCAGCTTTTCTTTGCTTGTTTTGTTGAACCTTCCCAGTAGGGCACCCAGAACAGCGGCGTCGCCAAATGCCATTGCGGCACCTTGAGATTGGTATGGAAGTGTTGGGTGAGCAGAATCTCCCAAGAGGACAAATTTATCCTTTAAACGAGATTAGTATAGCTTATACAATAGCATGGGGACGACCGAATGAACGAAAAGTAGTGCACCATTTCACCTAGGTGAGAAGAAGAAAAGAATGGCGGAACAGAAAGAACTCACCTTAACCCATCTTTCAAGTTCACTGTGGTGACAGAGCTTCCATTTTAAAGTGGAGGAGAAGCAAGTGGTAATTTTGGTTAATCTGTAAGACATGAATGAGTAGCCTTTGACAGAAGTTCGAGGGTAAAAACTTACATCGGATCCCAACCCTCAAACTCTCTACACATCTCAGCCAAGTCGCCCTTCTCAGTTCTTTGGCCTTTTCGCATTTTATCCGGCGTCAGCAACACCAGGTTCCAAAGCTCGCCGCCCCGGATGGCATAGAAAACAGCATGTTTCAAAGGGCCTAGCCACAGCGTGAGCGTTTGCTTATTCTCATCACAAAATCGCATGACCTCAGCGTCGTCAAGTTCTTCAAGCTGCTGGCGCGTGAATGTGCCTCGATATGCTAGATCTCCAGTCTCTGTAGGCTCAATTGCTTGCCCTACCACTTGGCTACGCAGAGTAGACCAAATACCATCCGCACCCACAACGACATCTGCTCTGAAACGTTGCCCATTGGTTAGAATGACCTCGGTAGCCTCAAAGTCGGCTTTCAAAACATCACAGCCTGTACGAATATCAACACCAAGCTCTGCAGCGGTTTCTATGAGACCATGTTGGAGGTCTGCTCTATGGATGACCCTAGCAAGGAAGACAAACGTTCAGCAAATCATACCAAACACATTCAAATAGGAAAGAGACTCACATGGCTGGATATCCATACTTGGCATACGAGACAGTGCCGTATTTGCGTGTAGCCAAGATATCGCCATTATCCCAGCGACGGAGGTGGCGGGTAAGAATCTCAGTTGCTTTGCATTTGATCTTTTCAAAGACACCGATATAATCCAGCACGCGACATGCATTAGGCGGAACTTGAATGCCTGCCCCAATCTATTTCTTCTGTCAGTTTTATGTTTAAAGGAAAGGGTTGAGTCGCTTGGATCACATGCCTCTGAGAGTTCGGGGGCTCGTTCGAAAATGGTCACATCTAACCCTTGACGTCGGCATGCGATACCACAAGCAATGCCCCCAAGACCAGCGCCGACAATAACAACTTTCATTGTAAGGGATCGAAGACGTAGGCAGAATAGTCTTAAGTGTTAGGACTCAGCTTTTGCTTCGAGGTTTATTGTTCACAATTCAAGAATACTAGATACTGCGTTTTATTAAACGTAAGCAACACATCCGAACTCCATTCATCGGAATAGCTTAAAATTCCGGCTCCGGTTGTCGTGTGCGGGAATGCTGATCATGGAAATGCTATCGGAACTGCAGCGGTTATTGCGGCTAGTGCATCGGAATTGTAAAAGAAGACTTTCTTTGCCGGTGGAATCAAATGCTTGTCCGAGCCAGAAGGAATAATATTATTTGCATTATATTTTTCAGCGTTATCCAATTTCATTCTAAATACAACTTGTCTGTCGTGAACAGTTTGCTTTCACACTTCATCACCTCTAAGCCACTCCATAAAGGAGAATCTCCATATAGATAAACCCTTATCTATATCGTTTTATCGTCACTCACTTCGCTCATTCGCAAAACCAATATGGTATCTTCAATTACAATCGCTGTCAAGGACACTGAGTCTCAGGTTCTCGAGAAGCGTGCGGCGTTATGCGACACGCTAGAGGCCAACACTTCCAAAGCCATTGAAGTTTTCCGAGATGTGTCCGCTCAAGAGTATCGAGAGATGCGACAAAATGGCACAAATGGCTTCAACAAACCACCTGAGATTTCAGAGGCTGAAAACATGACAATTAAGAGGCGCGACGGCACGGACATGGAGCTGCGTATCGTCAAGCCAACAACAGGGTCTAGTAGAGGCTCACTTCTACACTTTCACGCAGGTCCGTTAAAACCAATACCTAGCCTTGCCAGGCCACTCTGCCCATAGTGTAATTGTTTCTAACAATTTGGAATATAGGTGGCCTTGTGTATGGAACTGCTCGTGGCCAAGACAACTACTTGCAAGCACTGGCCAACGCACTAGGTCTTACAGCCGTTTCGGTCGAGTATAGGCTCGCGCCAGAGCATCCTTTCCCAGCTAGCCAGCACGATGCCACTGACGCAGCCCTATACGCCATCTCTGCGGACGGTGAGGACAAGTTGGGAGGTCCTCTTCGTCTATTTGCAGGCGAGTCAAGTGGTGCTTATCTCGCTGTATGGACCGCTATCTCACTCCGTGACGATCACGGTGTAGATACCAAAGCCACCTTGGCTGGTTTGTTGTGCAGTTACGGAATATATGATATTTCGTATACACCGTCCCTACTCCGCCATAAGCGGAACATAATTGTCGGACGTGAGAGTATGTTTAGGCTCATGGACGCTGCGTTCCCTCCGGAACAGGTGGTTAATCGCAAAGATGCTTCTGTCTCTCCGCTTTACGCGGATCTCAAGAACCTGCCACCCGCGCTCTTCTTGTGTGGTACCGAAGATGCTGTTGTTGATGACAGCGTCTTCATTGGCGCGCGATGGAGCCTCGCCGGTAATAAGGCCGAAGTCAAGTTGGTCCCCAAGGGATTTCATGCTTTCTCACTAATCCCGACGGGTGAAATACAAAAGGAGGGAGTCTCAGAGGTTATATCCTTCGCACTGTCGGTCTTGTAAGATAGATATGTGCTAGGCATATAACATAAGTTAATAGAGTTGATTATCTACTGAATATAACTAAAGTTTGCCTACTAACAAAATCCTATTTTATTTAGATAATCTTTATTACTTTAAGATTATAAATTATACTACCCTAAAAGCGATTTACTTAGATAAAAATTCAGGAAATATTTAAATACCTTAAATTAATATATTTGTAACAGATATCGTAACTTTATCTTATTGTCTATCTGCCTTTGACTTTCAATCATGTTTTGTTCAAGTTCTATAATTGCCAGATGGTGGCCAAAAAGACTTTAGCCCCGCATTCCCGATATCTATGAACAAAATTGTCCTCTCTAATAGAAGATACCAACGCGGGGTTCCGGTTATTGGAAGATCTACCAATGGCCACAAAGGAGAACTAGAAGTTCCAGGGCCTAATTGGCCGACGGAAGTTGTCTACTGCTCGGCATAATCATATACTGTAGTGTTCTCATTGCTCGGAAGCGGAAGAGTAAAGGCTAACTAGTCTGTTTATCCTACCCGGGGCTAGCAATTCCGATGTTTTGTGGGGAAACCCCGGAACTCATATTGTGGGGTACCAAGGTAATGTTTATTCCCCGGGAAGGAAATTGAGCAAGGGGTATAGGATGAGATTAAAGAAATAGCTTCTGGGCCTCATCCACGGAATGCAAAAAGCAGTTACATCCTCAACCCACAAGCCTTTCCGTTGTGCTTCAATTGTATCCCCCTCTTCTCATCATACTCTGAATTTACCCGTCAAGTTCAAAATGGAGTCTGGGTTCAAATCGAAACCTTTGCCAGGTACAGAGAACCTGAAGTCTAAATGGAACACAACAACCACCGATCTTAGTGGCGCAAACCCCCCAGTTCGTCTTGAGGGAGAGATTGGGGATGTCATTGTTCGTGGCACCATCCCTGACGCCATCGACGGCACCTTTTACCGAGTTGCCCAGGATCCCTTCACCCCCCCGGCGCCGCATAACGTCTCAATTGAAGGACATGGCGTTGTGTCAGCATTTCGTATCCACAAAGGCTCAGTCGACTTCAAGATGAGATACATCCAAACAGAGAGATACCTTACCGAACGCAAGGCAAGGACGAGTCTATTTGGGTTGTATAAAAACCCTTGGTCGGACCATCCCTGTGTTCGAGGCGTTGTTGATTCAACAGCGAATACGAACATCATCTACTGGGCTGGAAGCCTCCTCGCCTTGAGGGAATCAGCCAATCCGTACTCTTTAGACCCAGACTCGTTGGACACCAACCAGTACGACCCTTTCGGCAAGCAGGTCAACGCCGAGGCTTTCACGGCTCATCCCAAGATTGACCCTTTTACGGATGAGCTTGTTGTCTTTGGATACGAAGCTAAAGGCCCTGGGAGCGACGACATTGTTACATATTCTATTGATAAGAATGGGCATGTAAAGAATGAGACATGGGTTAAGTCTCCATATGTCACATTTATTCATGACATGGTCTTGACCGAGAACTGGATTGTTCTAATCCTGTGGCCTTTTGAGGCTGATGTTGATCGTATGAAGGCTGGTGGACATCACTTTGCATACAATTACGACCTTCCGGCCTCCTTCATTGTCATTCCCCGCCGCCCAGAGAAGGTGAATGCAAACTGGAAGTTGGGCGAATACCGCGTCTATAACACCAAGAACTGCATGATTGGGCACACAGCATCTGGATGGGAGGAGAACGACAAACTTTACTTCGAGTGCTCCCGCTCTCACGACAACTTCTTCCCTTTCTTCCCTGCCAAGGATGGAAGAGAAGCAGGACAGACAGTTGTGGACTTTGTGCGTTTCGAGATTGATCTGAATCAACCTACTGGATCCAAAGTCGATGAACCCAGAGTCTTGCTCGATATCCCCAATGAGTTCCCACGTATCGATGAGCGTTACATGTCAAAGAAGTACGAAGTTGTCTTCTGCTGTATCTTCTACCCTGGTCACAGCGATACGAAGAAACTGCTCTTTAGTGGTCTCAATGCTGTGGCCATGATCAACACACGCACTGGAGAACAGCAGTTCTACTGGCCAGGAGAGAATTGCTACTGCCAGGAGCCTGCCTTCGTGCCGCGAAGCGACGATGCTCCTGAAGGAGATGGTTGGGTCATGTTTGTCGTTGAGCGTAGAGATCTAAACGTCAGCAATCTGGTGATCGTCGACACTCGTGACTTCAAGACGCCTATCGCTGTCGCTGAACTCCCCTTGCGCGTACGACCGCAGATCCATGGCAACTGGGTTGACTCTCGGGAGCTGAACGACAAGCCTCTTGTGTCGGAGCCAGGGGAGATAAAGCTTTCTGGTAAAGCGTGTAACTTGAAGGTGGACATTGTGAATGGAAGTCACTAAGAATGCTTCACGGAGCACTCCTTGTGTTCGACCAGAGAATTTGTTATTGTCACTGAGTTTGTAAATGGATCTTACATAGCTGTGCCTATTGTGCCAATAAATACTGTCGCTTCCTGATCCGTTTGAGTACGTCAATATGGTCTCGTTGTTTGAACCCATATCTGAAGTATAATCGGGGAACCACTTTCTTAACAATATCCTAGAAGGCTTCTCTCGATTCTATATCTACGTGAGGTAATTAGATCTCTGGCCTGTATTAGTTTTAATGAAGCATTGTAGTGTAAATGCATCTAAAAACATCAAGGGTATTTTACCGGCACCGAAGATATGGCAAGGTGGAATGACATTCTGCAGAAGCTTTGCCCCCTGCAGGTTTTTACGGATCTGGGACTTCGGTCATGAGTCCAAACCGGTAGCCAATCTGGGGAATCACAGGCTTAACCGCGGTGATCTCTTAGTTCCGATGATTGACCTGTCTGGTAATTCCTATACCGAATTTGCCGACAAGCCGTATCAGCCACCTCGGGAAAGTAAAGCGTCATACAAGCGGGGGTTGTGAAATATGAGACGTACTCGGCACTGACACTTCGATTTACGGTGGATTATATAATTTAAGAACTTCAGTTTTTATAATCAAGTCACCGTCTTTCACCGTCATTGACTTAACCATTGCTCCTTACCTTCCTCGGGAGCACAATTTGCCATCCTCATCCTCATCGTCCCTGGTTGCCTGAAACGGTCTAAAGATGGCCAAAAATGGAATGCATGAGCCTCATCATATGCGAGTTATATGCATTGGTGCTGGGATATCCGGTATTGCAGCAGCATACAAAGCCCAGAGACAACTCGTCAATATAGAGCTGGTCATTTACGAAAAGAACCATGATGTAGGTGGGACTTGGCTAGAGAACCGTTATCCTGGGTGTGCCTGCGATATTCCAGCCCATTCCTACACCTTCTCGTGGGAGGGGAACCCCGAGTGGTCCAGGTTGTGAGTTACACCATGCAACTAATAAAGTATATCACACAAACTGACTTTGAAACCTTAGCTATGTCGAAGCACCGGAGATATTTGACTACCTGAAGAAGTGTGCCGGAAAATGGGGTTGCATGAACTTTATCAAGTTGAGACACAGAGTTATCGGGGCCACCTGGGACGAGCAAGCTCTTAAATGGACCGTCAAAGTCCAAGGGCCGGATGGCACAGAGATCAACGATGTTTGTGATGTTCTCATCAGCGCGACAGGGCCTCTGAAGTAAGTACATGAATCCATGACCAATAACTGAGAGTAGCGGAGTTGATCTTGACGTCATAGTAAATGGCAATGGCCGGATATCCCTGGCCTAGACGACTTCAAGGGTCTACGCCTGCACCCAGCAAGATGGGATGCGAGTGTAGACCTCTCGGGAAAGAGAGTCGCAGTTATAGGAGCTGGATCATCTGCTCTTCAAATCGTTCCAACTATCCAGCCCGTCGTCTCTAAGCTCATCAACTTCATCCGCTCGCCAACTTGGGTTACGGCAGAATATGGTCAGGCTTTTGCTCGTGCCGGAAGAGACACAAGATTCACGGAAACTGAAATCAACAGCTTTAAGTCCGACACAGAAGCATTTCTAGAGTACCGCAGAAAGCTTCTCGATGCTTCAACCAAAGCTTTTGACCTTTACTTCAAGGATACCGATATGCAAAGGCAAGCCTTCGAGGCAAATAGAGCGGCTATGCGAAAGCGACTCAAGGGCCACGAAGAGATATGCAACAAGCTTATTCCCGACTTTGAAGTTGGATGTAGACGGTATGATTAATCCTGATTCAGCGACTCTCCCTGAGCGAACACTGACTTGATGCGGTAGCGTGAGCCCAGGGCATGGCTATCTAGAGGCTCTGATTGAGCCAAATGTAACTGCAGTTTTTGACGGGATCAAGCTCGTCAATGAGACGGGAATTCTTGACAACAATAGCGTTCAGCACGATGTGGATGTCATTATCTGTGCGACTGGCTTTGACGTTTCGCATCGACCTGCGTTCCCCGTCCTAGGACGTGGAGCTCAGGACTTGAGGGACTTTTGGAATCAAGGCCCGATCCATTATCTCTCAGTGGCAGCACCAAGGTTTCCGAACTATTTCAGTAAGTTGAAATAATTACTTTGACTACATATGGCTACTAACAGGGGCAAATCACTCAGTCGTGGGTGGTCCCAACGCGCCCATTAGCAATGTTTCTCTCATCATGGGACTCGAGCTGGCAGTTGACTATGCATTCTCGTGTGTAAGAAAGATGCAGACTGAGAATATTGGCAGTTTGGAGGTGAAACGGGAAGCCGCAGATGACTTCCTTGAGCAGAGAGATAAAATAATGCAGGGCATGGTATGGACTGGGTCTTGCGTAAGTTGGTAAGTGAGCGATACCCATGAAGGCCGTCAGACATCTATACTGATACCTGTATAATCAGGTACAAGAACGGCAGTGATAACGGTGCAGTTACGGGTCCTTGGTGCGGGTCTATATGGCACTATAAGGAAACACTGGAATCTCCAAGATGGGAAGACTTTGAGATTCAGTACCTTGAGAAGAATCGCTTCGCCTACCTCGGAAATGGCCGGACGCATAGAGAGCTAAGTGGCGACAGCATGGCACGAACTTATCTAAAGGATCATGGGCTGTATTGATATGTACTTCAGCTACTGATCCTAGGTAGAAGTAATAGTGATTACTCGCTTATACATTATCAGCTCTAGCTTTTATGTCTGTTAGATGTAACTGTAATTTAACAATACTGACCTTGTTTTCATCAGTTCAGACACTTGTCGTTCTGGGCCTACTACTAACATGCCATGGCATCTTATCCTTCAAGCTTGCTGGTTTCTTATGGGTTACGCCAGAGGCAAGGATGCGTATGCCAGAGAATCCAGAGTTGTGCTTCTTTGGGTTTTCCTGCTGCCAATCCCACCACAACCGATCAATTTGTGCATGATGAAGAAAGAAGACAGGATCTATAAAATGGCAAATTAGTTATGGAAAAGGGTAAGTGAGCCTCCGTTGCTTCAAACATACTATTTGGTAATGTTGATGACACAATGTCTCCGCCTATAGCTTGATGAATAGCGCCGTGCGATCCATTCTCGAGATCCCTAGTAATTGTAGTAAAATTCTTAGAATCTCTCATTATCTTTGAAACCGCATGTGGTGAGTAAGAATCTCCCTGGAACTTTCCAGCTGGTGTCAATTCATCGTTGAAACCACGATTCAGGCAGTGTGACCTCGATGTTTGATCGTGGTATTGCACAGTAAAGTTGTTGAACGCTCCATCTAGGACACACATCGTCGAGGGGTTCGGTCTCCCTAGGTTCACAAAACCTCCACCGAGGCCGTTGCCGCCAAAACCGCGGATCTTATCTTTTGAGAATATTGGACTTCTGGACATATCCTTCGAGTCAATTGTCCAGTCCCAGTAGGGCATAAAGCCGCGATAGCCGCACTCATCTCGTAAAGAGGTCTCGTATAGATGGACAAAGTATCGATTCTAGGGCAGAATTGGGCTACAAAGTAGACTGAGTGAGGTCAGGCTCAGTTTCAACATGGAGCAAGTGGAGGTTGAACTCAATTTGGACGTTGAGTGTTCTGTGAACATAAGGGAAGTCGTTGTAGCGAGATGTTTTTAAACCAAGCTGTGATGGCATCTTATCGAGGCATTTCACAGCACTGATATATTCTGCTTGTGATGATTTTGATAACTTCCGCCACTCAATTCTGATTTCGACTCGAGGGGGCGTCGCATACTGGTTTGGTGTCTCAAACGCAAAGGTTGTCAAGGAGGAAATAGTACATAATAGAAACAAAAGATATTTCATCTTCTAAATTCAGGTATAAAGGAACAGTAACTTATTTGCGAAGTCTGGCATCACATGCATGCTCTTATATTCATTCAAGGTATTGACATCCTACCCTGTATGGCACACAGCAGTGCTGAAGCGAATCCATTTTAGGGAGGTTAGCCGACTTTATCTTATCCACATTGGCACTTTCAGACAAATCAGGTAACCTAGAACAAAATGAAGCTTCGAGATCTTTCCTGAACTGGTGATAGTGCTTAAAGAATACAAGGATATAAGCTATTTATAGAAAGAAGCCAAGAGTACGGAGTATTAGATTAAGATTAACTACAGAATCAAGACATCAGTTTCTCCAGCCTGTCGCTCAGACCTGTTAAAGTCTATCGGAGCCTGCATATCATCCATTCCAAAGTCATAATGAACAAACTCATGCATATCATCCAGCATCTGAGGTCCTAGTGAAAACTGATCTTGGCTAACCTCGGGTGATTTAGCATCCGCTCTTGGCGCCTTGTAGTGCTCGCAAGCGGTGTCATCGACAGTTTGCTCAGGGGAACCTATGTCGATGGTCAAGAGCCTAGGAGAAGGTAGACGCGTGTGAGGTGCAGCGTGACCAAGCGTAGAGTCCTCAGAGTATCGCCCGAGAGCTAACGAGTGGTCGATAGTTCGAGAAAGCCGGAAGTATAAAATAGGTTCCATGACGAGGACATTACCCCAGTCGTTGGCATAATCGTTGTCTTTGGTCAATTGGGATTTCGATCCCAGACATCCGACAGCGTCAATGCAGGAACCATTAGGTGAGCTTGTCTCATTCTCTGCGTCCTGTATCGTGGCATAATCCATAGCTGTTCTGATGAAGGTCCAAACATCATCAACTCCATCATAGAGTTTCTGCATAGTCTTCATGGTTTCGACATAAACATTGAGCTTTCCTTGCTTCTGGGCTATCTGTAGTGGCCTCTTTGCAAGTCTAACATCAAGGATGTGTAGCACTAGAGGAACAGCGATATATGCAGCACTAGAAACAGATCATCAGCAATAGCAAATAACGAATCAGATATCAACTCACATGCTGATTGGCAAGAACCTTTCTAACCTCAGTTGGATAAGCTCTTTGAGATTCTCAGTGATGCCAAGGGCAGCATCTTCGATTTTGCTCTTAGTCTGTTGCAGGTCCGAAGTCGCTTTGGTCTGTTCCTGGCTGATGATAAAGGCCTTGTGCTGATAAAGGGCGAAGCAGGCAGCGCTTTTGGACAGTCAGAAGCTAAATAAATGACTGGACTTGAGCGGTGATACTTACTAGTAGTATATGTAGAGTAAGTTTGTGTATAACACAAGAGACCCCTCACGAGTGATGATACCAGCAGGCGTTGGAAACTGGATGGTTGCCCTTTCGAACCAAGCTTCCAAGCCAGCCTCGCACGACTGCAGTGATTCCCATCCCTTTTGGGCATCATGAACCACTGGTGAATGAATATCAGTCAAGCGGCCTGTAGGATAAACGATCTTGATGACATCAGTAAGTGGAACAGTCAGCTCACACAGCGTGATGAATAACCGGACTAGCGTTCGTTTAGTTTGTGGTGCGTAGACCTGGGACCCGTCAATCTCTCGCCAAAAGTCTTTCTCAGTAGGCAAGTAGTTGGTGTGAGCCACATCAAGTGATGTAATGTGTAGTTGTCGTCGCATCCCAAGAGGAAGTATTCGGTCCCGTACTATACAGCACCACCAAAGTCGTTTCAGCTCGTTTACCGAAGTCAAACTCGGGTTTAGGCTGGTATGGAATTGATCCGCACCTGCGGCTTGGGCCAAGTGGATTGCAGTTGAGAGCCAGATTGAATTGGTACGTTTCTGATCCTTCATTGTTCCATTGTAGGATAGCAATAATGCCCCCTGCGCACTGGACACAAGGTTCCTCTCACTGCAAAGATCAAACAAGAGCTGCAATTCAGGTCAGTCATGATTTACCTACCAGCACGACTCGCCGAGCAAATTGAACCTACCTTACTGCGACGGTAGTATGTGTTCCGTGCGTTATGTACTGAAGCAAATCCAAGACTTTTCAGGGTTGAAAAAGGTAGAAACTGCAAAGTCAGCAAATTGTGTCTCAAGATGTACCAAAAGCTTGTAACATACACTACATGCAGTAAATAGCATGGCTTGGAAGACAAAAAGGGAGAGATTTGATCTGCCGCGTGCAGGCCTCGAATAGATGGTCCAGAACCAGGCTTCATCCAGCAATGGAAGCGCCGGGTGAACATGCAAAAAGTACTCTTGAACAAACTCATCCAAGGCTTCCGGAGTAGGGACACGAAAACAGCCTTGGCCTTCGAGGTAGTTTATATCATCGGGTAATAAACCAGAGATATCGAGGTCAAGGAAAGAGTAGTATGAGTATATAATATGCGATTGGCCAGAGATCGTTGCATCGAAGCTTGGGGCTGGCTTTGACTCTGTTTGATGTAGCCGAGAGCTGTCTGAGACAACTGTGAAGTCAGAATCTTTGCGCTGGTTGAGAACCATGTCAAAGATTTCAGATTCTTTGTCACAACTTTCGGTTGGACCTTGAATGAGTCGTTCGGCAGGGAAACTTATCTCAGGTTCATCCCAAACCGCCTCGAAGCACATAGACGGGCTTTCAGGGCCACATTCCACTGAGTGACCTGGCTCTAGACATGGATCGTTCAGGGTGTCCATGTCATCCGACACAGCAGAGCTTGGGTCCTTTGGTAAGATTGCCTGTAAGCTGTGTCTGAATTGTGTCCGCTGCTGCTTTTCGAGAACGACAGGAGATCGTTTTCGACTTGCCCATCTTAGCTTGAGCTGATGTTGGCTACCTAGAGAACCTACTATTTCGTGCGTCTGTCTTTCACAACACATTGGATGTTATCAAGGGCACAATTTGTGCACTGATGCGGTCTATGGGTGACGTCGCATCGCACTTTGCGTGAGCGACAAGCTACACAGGCTTTGCTGGCTCGCTTCCGTCGAGGATTCGCGCCATGAGACATTGCCTCCTCCATTGTGGACGCTGTTACTGTTTGGATAACGACGATGATGGATTTTGGGCCAGTAGTTGAGGTGGAAGACGCAAGATCTCCCTTTCGGAACTAACTGATGGCAACAGAGAGAAGAGGGTCTGAACGCGGGGTAAAACGCGGGGAAGTGGAAACTTCAGTCAAGGTACGAAGCATCTTACTCTATTGAATGCAGTTATTCGCAGGGTTGACTCGACTCAATTGACTCAGAGTCCATGCGCTCTGACTCAGCCATGTTTTGTCAACCAACGCTACGTCCTAATGAAGTAAGTCAATGTCCCAAAACAAGATTTACATCAGCCACAACAATTGACAACCGCGCATTTTTACCGAGGGTCAATTCCAACCAATCAATTCATGCGCTCATAGCAGTAGAGAGAGCCCAACAAAAACTGACTATGTTGAGCATTCCATCAGAGTTACATCTCGAAATGTAACCATACCTGCAACTTGAGAAAGTAATAATAGATACAAGATAACCAATAGGCGCATTGAAATCACAACTACCAGACAATAACTGGCTTCACTGTTTTCCCGTTTTTCATATCATTTAAAGCCGTCTCAAAATCTTCTGGCTATATCAAGTTGTCAGTACAGACTCCCTACCAATCAATAATTAAGGGACATACCTTGTAAAGGCTGATCAGCTTATCGATTGGTAGCTTGCCTTCCCGATACCACTGTACCATTCGGGGTAGATACTATGCACGTCAGAGCCTGGACTGCTGTCTGCGATGATTAAGCTCATACCTCATCAGGGATGGCATCACCTTCAATGGTTCCTCGAATGACTTTCCCGGTCTGACCTGGATTAGCTTTGTAAAGATGAATAGTCGGATGCAGATCATACCTGCATGAATGTGACCAGATGAAGATCCATCATGGCATCTAGTGGTGGTACTCCAATAAAGATCAGTTGACCTCTGTTTGAAGTAGCCTCTAGACCTGCTTTGATGAGACCCATGTTCCCTGTCGTGTCAATCGTTATGCTAGAGCCTCTTCCATCAGTGACCCTTTTTATCTCTTCTTGCATGTCCATGTTCTCATCCGATGTGTTGATCACATGAGTGGCTCCAATAGCCTTGGCTAATTCCAGTCTTTCTGGTACACGATCAATGCCGATGATAGTCTGACAGGCCTGCATCTTCGCTGCCTGGATGATATCAGCATATTCTTCATGCTTTTCAACATAGTTTCTTACCATTATGGAGACCAATCCGACACCACCAAGGCCTATAACTGCGACTCTGTCTTTCTCATTTGCTCTGGCAACGTTTTCAACCGTCGCCGCACCCGTCTGGAATCCACAACCAAGCGGCGCGAATAACTTCAACTCCTCTTCATTCTTGATGATGTTGGTCACATTCACAACAGATGATTCCTTGACAACTGCCAGTTCAGCAAACGACGACTGTCCAAAAAAGTTGCCACGCAAGTCGGTGCCCTCTGTTGTATATGTCGCATGCTCGCCGCCGTAATTGATCTCAACGAACTTGCTGCAAAAGGAGGGGTGATATTCTTTGCAGTCATGGCAATCTTGACAATTGTGAAAGGAAAGAAGAACAAAGTCACCTGGGCGAGCTTTGGTT